AAATAACAGAGGAAGATAGGAGGAAAAAAAAAATTACTGAAGGTAATCAAACACTTGTTCATTAACACTTAAAAAATGAAGACTTGCATACAGTTATGTAATTGAAATAGAAGTGTATGCTGTAAAAAGCTAAACAATAATTCTTCTCCCTTGCTTCCCGCACCATCCAGCTCTCTTAAGGTATCTTAACTTTTTTTTCTCTGAAGCCTTATTATGTACACGTATTTATAAGACATCCAAGAAAACTGTAATTCTTTGATTAATGTTTCCAGGACCAGAAAGGAAGTAATACAGCCAGCATGCAAAAAAAATGAAGGGAAAAAAAAATTTTTTTTTACTGGTGTAGTATCTCTGTAATGTTTGATCTGTATCTGCACTGAAGGTAGGTGTGGAACATCTCCCTGCAGGTATCTCTTGCTGTCAGTAGATCATGAATGTCAGCCTTGACAGGTATCCTCTGGTGATGTTATGAAGCACATGTGTCTTACTTTAAGCAAAGCTGTCCATACATCTGTCTTGTCAAGTTGGAATATTCCTACTTTCTCCCTAGTGTCTGTCACTTTTTTTGTCATCCTTAGGCTGAGATGTACCTTGTAAAATCTTGTTGGCTGGTTTTAATTGTTTTTCCTGCTGCTAACTTCTAAAAGCCATTACATCTGCCTTAAAAGGTACATGATATTTTTACTGATAGCATAGAATAAATTACTTTTTTTGTCATATGGTTCATAAATTCCAGTTATTGCAACCTTTGCATTTTGGGTACTGTGTATCATCTGTACTTTTAAGCCCCAAATCCTGCAAAGACTACCCATGAGTTGTTCCGTGACTTTCTGTGGAACTGTTAAATCCCAAGCTTAAACACATGCTTCAGTTCTTGAAGGGTCCAAGTCCAGCTCTCTTTTCAAAAGCTTGCTGGTAGGGATGCTCGCCAGCAGTCAGGGATCCTGGAGAGGGAGAGAAGGAGCTGGTATTTTTGCTTGCTTCTGTCTGCCAGCTTCCTGCCTCCATACAAAACAAGCAACTAACATTCTATGGATGTGTGGAAGGAAAAAAAAATAATCAAATAAATAGAATCTGAAGAGTCTACTAAAGGGATTCCATTAATGTTTTGTCATTCAACGAGTAAATAATGCCAGTAAAACTTGCACTGTCATTTAATCATATGTGCATTCACTTGACCATGGACTGTCTTTAGTTATGCTATGTCTTGTGAAAATCTTCCATACAAAAAAAAAGAAATGAATGAAAGTGTCCATGTAAGCTGTGTTTTGTATTTGACTGGATTTATTTTTATTATTTTTTTTTTATGGGACATCTTCTCTCATAATTATGTAATTGTATGTGAATATATCAACAATTATGATAGAAATGCACATGAAGTGCAGGGAGTGGTAATATGGAAGATGAAGCAATCTAAAGGAAAACAAGTTCATCACACTATGGCAGCATCCATTTTTTTAAAGTCCCATGCGATGTAAGAGAGAATTAGAACATTTTTCATTACACCAATCCTACATTTGACTGAGATGCATCAGAAAAAAGTGAACACCAAAAAAGTCTCTGAAATGTAGATCAAAACTTAAGAGAACATGAATAAGCAAAAATGGGGAAAGAGAATTTAGAAACACAGAGGTATTAAAAAATAGGGGCTGAAATCAAGTTTATCTGTTCACATTATGAATGACCCCCTATTTTGTAGGAATGGAGAGAGGTTATAGAATATATAGTTCAACGTACTGAAGGGATGGGGGGCTTCCAGGCCATGCTGTAAAAGCAAAGTTTGAAGTCTGTCTGCGGCCTCAGTCCTTCCAGCAGTGGGGTTAAATCAGGAGGACTTCTGTTGTTGATCCATTGCAGAGATTCATTCCAAAGTGGAAGCAGAGAGCGACTGTGTGTCTTTCTGTAGTGAATGGTGTCTGTGTAACAGCCACGATCTGACTTCCACTGGGTCTTGGATCTCCTAAATGCTTGTTCAGCTGATAGGGCGATGATGCATCTTGCTAAAAAGTCTCTTTATAGTAGAACTGCTGCTCCGGGCTGAAGACTAGGGTAAAATGGTTCACAATTTAAGAAAACAACCTAAGGAACATCACTTGAATTCCTGGAGCTGAGCATACGTTTCTATTTAAAGCAGTAATCTGTCATGGGCTTTGGATAATTCATTTTAGGGGTAACTGGGTGTTCCAATACCTAGCCTTCATGCATGGAAAACAGAAATTATTTGTGAGCTGGGCAGTAGCAGAGAGACATAATGTACTGAGAGTCCCTTTGGGATTTGCAAGGTGACCAGTGCTTAGGGTTCGTGCTGCCTTGCTGAGCTCAGCAAGGAGCACAGGCAGGGCCTCAGGGGTGATGGAGAACGTGTAAAATATACCATGGGATCACTTAAGTCCTGTGAAGTTTTATCTTGCTCATCTTTTGAAGGGCAGTAGGCAGAGAGGTGCCAGCTAAAGGTGATGCTGTTGTTGAAATAGCACAGAGCTTTGTAAAGGAGGATCGTGGAGCACTTTTCAAACATTAATTTAGTTTCATACTAACAAGGTAGAAGGCTACCAGTAATACTTATCTGACTTAGGACTGACTGTAGGGAGAAACCGTATGATAAGCTCACCTAGATAAGTCAGGGTAAGGGTAGGTCATAGGTAAGGGCTGGAGTAACTGTCTCCCTGTCATACTTGTAGCGCGTTTATCCTGTTCAGAAATAGGCCATGTACTTCATTGACTACAGCAATAGGCAGATCTCTTACCATTTAACAAACTCTGAGATTTAACAGATCTCTGCTACCCACAGGAGCTGAAGTTCCTACTCGAACAGCAACTCAGCTACTTTTGTCAATTTGATTCCAAAAATATCCCAAACAAAAGCAAATGGTGGTTCAGCACTTTAGGAAGACAGACAGATGGAGAGCGCGATGCAGTGTGGTACATGGTGTAGGTCATAGTGGGATAGAAACAATTTCAAACTTGCGTTTTGTGATATTGGATTGCAGCTTGATTTTACACACTTTAGTGTTCTTTTAAAGCCAGAGTTGTTTGTTTCTGTGTATTTGGATCTGCTTCGCATGTCACGGACAAAGATTTGGGCGAAATAGCATGTGATTATGTTGCCATATAATACTTGCTAAAAAGACGAGAGTTGGTTGCAGAAAATGAACACAGGAGCGGATGCCATGAAATAAAAGTTTAAATGTGTTCCAGGTAGAAGCGGCATGATGGGGACAGCAAAGTGTGGAGCTTAATTGCAAACTTCTGTGAAGTTACAGGCATGGTTAGCTGGTGGGAGCCAGGTACTGCTGACGAGTGGGGAGGAACTAACAAAATCTAATAGATATCTGGGAAAATGCCATTTTAAAATGCAGGCTAAAATTTCTGAACCTTCTTCCTTCAGGGTTCAGTTGTTTTCTCTAGCTAGCAGTGTCTGAAGGTCCTTCAGCTTTCGGTGCTGTTGCAGTCTGCGGGGGGAGCAGCTGCTTACGCACCTTTCTGGCGCGCACAAGGGCTAATTGCCGAAACGCCAGTGAGTTAACCGACAGGAAGCACACATGGAAGAGATCACCCAGAACCAGAATTAGTGATCGCTAAATGGGTGGGGGATGTAGGAGCATGGCCGGGGCTGTACGGGCTGTAGCCGCTGCGTGAGGTGGCTCTGGTGCGGCATTCACCCCAACGGCGGCACCGGGGTGAGTGCAGGTGTCGCAGCTTTTCCTTCTGCCGCTGTAGGCTGGAACACTGGCGCTCTAGCAGGCGTCTTCCACAGAGCAGCATCCTAAAATGTGATGTGGCCTTGCGGTTACAAGGCTCAGCCTCTTTTCGTGCCCTTCTCCTGAGGGTCAACAACAGAGCTGCTTCTGGCTTTGCTTGTGGGTCCAGGACTTAGCCCGGCTTCTTTATCCTGATGGCAAGAACCCCCTGTGAGACTTTGTCAATTTTCATCGGCTTTAGAAAAATCTAGCTGGCTAACCACTCAGCAGGTTCAGTTTGGTTGGATGTTTGCATTGTTTTCTTGGAAGACCAGCCATGCTTCTGTCAGGATTGTCGTTGAGGTGACATAGTGTAAACAGAAGGCTACAAGAGACCAGACTCTGCTGGCAGAGCTTGCTTGCTGTGGGCTTTGATACTTGGTTATGATGTGCTCGTTTTGTTTATTTATATATTTATCTGCCCCTTAGTTGGGTAGCAGATCTGTTAAGCCTTAAATTGGTAGTTAGCATGTGTTAAGTGTGTATTTTTTACTGAGAATTAGTTTTGAGGTATTTTTTCAGGTAAGGAGACACATACACAAGATAGGTGTGTAAGTGAATATGATTTACCTTCTGCATGCACTTGGGTCAGCAGATTGTTTTGTTTGCTGTTAGGGGGTTCTTGTTGATGGGTACTTTGGAAGCGTCAGGGTAACTATTTCTGGTTGTTTGCTTCAAATTCGTGTATTAAAATTTATTTCTCTTAGGCGGGGAGTTAGATTTCCCTGTTGCCCCTCTTAATGGCACTTGGGAAATCCTAGCTCATAGTGTCATGGGGTTCTGCATCAACATTGCTATATATAAGGGCGTAATTAACAAATGAGTGGCTGGCGATAGGTTCCACTGCTAAGAGGAGGGATATCCTGACATTTTTGGTGGCAAAATATGAAAAACTACAGTGGACACAGGTGTGGGAGAGTTGTGAAGTCTCTCGCCTGCCTGACTAGTGAAGTGTGAGGGCTTTTCTGTTATCCTTCAGACGAGCACATTTGAGCTTCGGACTGGCTAGTATCCTTGCTTCATGCTTTTAAATTGTATGTTGCTAGTTAGTCTGGGCATGGGGTGGAAATGTTAAGATTGGAAAAGATACATCCATACTGTTGATAATTGGAATAAATCTCTATCTAACATCTTGCCAAAGCTTCTAAGAGTCTTTCATGAATGCCCCATATATTTGTCATTGGTTCGTTTAAGTATCTATAGGATGGTCATTTATGCCTAAGAGTGTGTTGTGAACTTATGCCTGTTTTTGCATGACAGGTCACAGTAATGAAAGGCAGTAGTAGGAATAAGGATCATTCGACAGAAGGAGAAGGAACTGGGAAACGACCAAAAAGAAAGTGTCTTCAGTGGCATCCCCTGCTTGCCAAGAAACTCCTTGACTTCTCTGAAGAGGAGGAGGAGGAAGAAGAAGAGGAAGATATTGATAAGGTAGACTTCATTGGATGCTTTGACCATAGAAAGTTAATGGCGGGTCAGATTCTCCCTAGGTGTGTTTTTACTTCGTTTGCTTCTTGTTGTTCTCTTTTGTGAACAAACACAGGCAATAAAAGGAAGTGTTGCTGTGCCCATAAGGCTACAAAGGCAAGTAGCAAATAGCACAAAAAAGTGAAATGTCAGTCATGCTTTTAAAATCTTGGACAAAATTCCCTTTTTTTAGTTAGACTGTAAAAATTTTACCTGGGTTGTTTTAATAACATGTTGCACTTCTCAATCTTGATTGCTCAAAGTGGGTTTTTGACATGTTTTTTCAATTGTTTATTTTAGACATGAAGTTACCCTGGGCTTTGATATCTGCTTTTAGTGGCTCAGAGGACATACCAAGCCAATAGTTTTCTTTCTTTCTTTTTTAAAGATAAAAAAGATTAAAAGGGAAAAAGAAGGAAAAAAGATGTCAACAATTTGCAGTATCTTTGCATGTGAAATTCAACTTATCTTCCAGAACATTGAGAGCACGGGTAGAGTAATCTGTGTCTGGTTTGGCTCTTGCTATTTTGGTTTTGTTCAATGACTCTGGCCTTACCCTTTTTTCAAAAGAACCCCACAATGTGAGACCTCACAAATACACAGTTAGACTCATCCCCTGTAACAAAAAGTGGGAATGGGTTATGGAGACTTGATGTTTCCATCGTGTGGATAACTTTCATACCTTCATCTCCTGGATGCCTTCCTAAGGCAGGAATAGAGAGATTCGGTGCTGAGGAGACTGCCTTGAGCCACATACTGATAAGGAAGAGTGACCTTGACAAGGATAAGGAGTAGCAAGGAGGACCCTGATACCCTGACAGTGCTTTCTGTTGACCGTATAGGCCACATTCACAACGTGGTATAAAATATCAGTGTCGCAATTAGGTAGCAGATGTTTTTCTGTCTCATACAGTCATTTGCTACGTTTGGTCAGAACTGATTGTGGTCCGTCCCTTGCAGGAATGGTACACTGGCCTGTAAGTGGAGAGAGCATTTTTTGGCAGTGTATTCTGTTGAGATTTGCCCTTTGTCTCTGACTGGGCAGCTGTGCAGTGGCTGCACTTCAGCGCAGCTCGTAGACTGAACAGCAGGAGATGGGGAAACATCTCTCACCTCTGCACTCTCTAGTTGCAAGCACACATGATTGAGGTCCAACATAGCTCTGCTCACCTCATCCAGCTGAGATGACTTCCAGGTTGCAGGAAGGATCTCCTTCTTCCAGCCCCTCTAGGACTGTTACTAGAGAATGGTCCTCAGCTTAGAAATCTTCTCCATTTGCAAATCGGAGTTTAAGTCTTGCAGAGAGCATGAGAGAACAGAGAACCTTGGACTGTCAGATGAGGAGGTTTGATGTAGAACCCTGGGTCTTCCATATGGAACAGAAGGCCTTTGGAACTGATGTGTGTATCTGTGTGCGTCTCCCTCGTTCACATGCAGCATAGGCAGACTCTTAGTCTCCGTGAGAAGCGTGGATAACTGAGTTTGCATCCCTTCCCTTTTGGTTCTGATAGGTGCCACTCCTTGGCGCTGATGGTTTAGAGCAGGATGCTGATGAAACTGAAGATGACGAGTCCTCAGAGCAACGAGCTCGCCGACCAATGAATGCATTTCTCTTGTTCTGCAAACGCCATCGCTCGCTCGTGCGAAAAGAGCACCCTCGCCTCGATAATCGTGGCGCGACCAAGATCTTGGCAGATTGGTGGGCTGTCCTAGATCCAAAAGAAAAGCAGAAATACACTGACATGGCCAAGGAGGTACGTTCTGTCTGAATTGTGGATGTAAAGGAAGTTCATTATGTATTTGTCTGTCTTCTGTTTCTCTGTGTATTAAATGTCTTCTGTGGAGTCTTTCTCTTCCCCAAGATAATCGTCTTCCTCAGTGGGATTATAGTGTCCAGAGCAGCTGCTGTTCTTGCTTTGATTCACTTGGTCCTTTGGTCCAGAATGACAGGGAATTGGACAGTGTACACAAACTAACCTGGCTGTAGCAGTCATTGGTACAAATATATGCAATTTGTGATAGATAACATCTAATAATTCCTGCAATACAAGCATTAATGTGTGAGTAGTGTGTGGGTAGTGGCCACTGAAAACAATACCACAGTTCAGTGTCAGCCACAAATGGTACTTAGCTCAAGCTGACCATTTGCTGTTGATAATACAGGTTGCTGTTACAATACAGGTGGACCAAACCAAAAGCACAGACAACAAATGTAGTCCCTTTTTACCTTTGATGCTAAAGAATCTAAAAATTCCTACTGTTTCATGAATCACTCTCCCTGTGTATTGTTGACCAGTTTCTGATAGAGCAACCTTTGGTGCAGCAGAGTTCAAGACCCGAATTGGAAAGCCATACACAGTCAGAGTCGTTCAACTGGGAGCAAGGAAAGGAGATTTATCCCCATATTTAACAGAGTATCTTTATGTCACTACAAGAAGTAAAGATACCTGTGAAACAATTGGGGAAACTATTATCCGTACCCACCCTGTCACCTGAAGTTGTCTGCTACTGTTAACACATGTATATAAGGTCTGGCTGTGTAGTAGTTTGTGTGAGCATGGAAAGGCCCACAGGAAAAATGAAGCGTTCTGCATGGCAAGTCCTTTCTGCAGCAGGATCTGTAGCACCTCTGTGGTTCCCCATCGGTGACGCTGTGTTGAAATACTTGAGTCTCAGCTTTGTCCAACCATTCCTGATTTGTTCTGCATTCCCACTTAGAAATTAGTGATGCTTCTTAGAATGTGTGGAGAAATGGGCAATTAGGAGATCCAGTACAGATACAGAGGAAAGATAAAAATGAAGAAATAAGTTTTGGAGGAAGCAAACGTGATGTGACTGTTTTACTTAGCCTTTTGTCTTGCTGAAGGAAACTCATTCATTAAGAAGGAAAATAATTGCAGAACTTCTGTATGAGGTGACAAATCTGAAACTATTAATCATACTGTTGCAGAAATCATTGTTCCTGTAGTGATTGATTTATTTTTCTTGGCATGAAGAACAAATTGCATATTCAACGTCAAAGCGAAACAATAAATCTAAGTAGTTTACATCATTACAGCTAGTTCCAAGAATGTGCAGAAGAGAGCATATAATTTTGGTTCTTTAAACAGGTGTATATTACAACAATAATTAGCAGCTATAATGTGCTATCGAATATATTTGGGCCTTGTCCACCAACAGGCCTATTCTTTGTGTACGGATTGGTTGTTTTGTTTTAACACTGACTTTTGTAGCTAAGCTTACTGCCGAGGCTGTCAAAAACATGTTAATGTCAACTCCAGTGTGAACCATTTATTGGTAATTTTCTTTTTCCTAAGGAGAGCTCATTTAAGAAGTCAAGAAGATGAATGCCTTTGGAAGGACATAAAATTACCATTGTACTAATAATCTTCTGTTTGAGTACCTATATGTATAAGCTCATTCAGGTTTAAAATACAGTGAATGAGCTTCTGTTACTTAAATGTAGCTTTTCAGAGCCCTTTGGCTTCCAGTTTTCACCGTGTAGCCTCTAGCCACTGCCCTGGCAGGGTACACATCTCCCAAAGGACCCTGTGTCACATCCACTACCCCCACAACACGTCTTGTGTAGCCTGAGCATCTGAATTGCTCTTCCAGAGATAGAAATGGGCCTGACAGAAGTGGTCTCTACTGCAGTAGGTACAACCCCTGCTGTTCTGCAGCCTTGAGAATGTTTTTACTACTTGAAGCCATAGCTTACAAAGCCAGTTAGCTTAGATCAAGCATCAAACAAGAAGCTTTCAGTTTCTTACCTTCTTAGTACCAGCAGTATACTATCTCAGCAGTGTGCAAGTCAAGGCATTTGTATATTTACTAATGTATGTCTAGTTATATGCAAGATCTAGGATTTTGGAAGATAGTGAGGCACCGAAACATTTCCTAAGTGGAATTACGAGAAGTTTCCTAGTGGGTTGGACATCTATCCTTGATTCTCACTGAGAGGATAATCGTGTCCATAGTTAATTTAGGCACTTTTGGAAAATCCCATTATGAACCTGTCCGCACCTTGGGGTGCCTTAATTACCTAGAAAAACTGGCCCCATGCTCCCTCAGTTTTCAGTCTTGTGTTTTATGGTCTCTTGGATCAACACCTGCCCCGGAGACCTCATGCTGCACCCGCAGAGCTTGGTGTCAGCTTCTGCTGGTGTTTTCTTTAGGAGCAGGCTTTCTGTTTGTGTCCTGCAGACTTCCTAGATCCGCTGAACTTTGAAAGTTTCATTACCGAGGATATAAGCCCGGTAGCTGATAAATACTAAGTGGAACTACAAGCGTTCCTGCCGTTGGTTAGCATTTCCCTTCACCGAGGGGAAAATGAATTCTGGCCACTCATAAATATGCTCCATCATTTTTAGTTACGGCAATAATAGGGGAAGGCTTCTTCTGTTAACTCTTACAGGGCGTACAGGGAATATTCAGATCCCGTGGAAAATACCCAGTGAGATTATTACTGTTCAAGCCCTGTTTCCCTTGCTAGAAAACATTTCATTTTTAAATACATCTTTTAAATGGCAAGATCCAGGGAGTCGGGATTGTTTTCTTTGTAGGGAGCAGCCTGATAAATCCAGGGTGCTGCCGTTCAGCAGCAGAGCTGAACACGTCTCCCCGCGAGTGCTCGGCCGATGGTTTTGCAGGTACAGTCAGCCTGACTGGGAGCTGCTGTCCTTGCTGCTTTGGCAGCCGCCTCGGGGTAGGAGGGGGAAAATGTTCTGGCTTTCTGGCCAGAGTCTGGCAAGTTCACTGGGTGACATATGGACCATAAAGTGTAACGCGAACCCTGCGTCCTTCAGGAATGAAAAAAGGAGTGTAGTATTTTCTGGCGACTTTTTTTTTTGTTGTTGTTAGATCTCTGGGATTCGTGTGACATTTGATAGCCAGTTGGTGGGATTTAAGCATACATTTAACATTAAACATACTAACTGCTATCCTGAGGTATATCTGGAATCCACTTGTGAGCGCCTGTGCCCACCACACTGGAGAAAGCAAATCTTTTTTTATTTGGTGATGAAAGCATCTCAGCGAGTTGCACTGAAGCACAGCGCCTTTTTTAACCTCAGCTCTGAAGTGACATGGATCCCACTGTGTAACACATCCTTTCCCAGGCTTTCATAAAACAGAAATGATACATCACTCTGATCCCGCAAACATATCCTGTACTTTTTTATCTTACCTGGAGCTTCGGGACATGACCCTGCCAGGCTCTCTCTGCCATTTGCGTGGGAACCAAGGTGGTGTCTTTGCATTCCAGGTTAAGGAGATAATTTTATTTTTTTTTAAAGTGACTTTAGAGATGTCCTTAGGCTGCACAGTTGGTCGAATGGGGGAAAAACAGTAAACTCTGCTGTTGCCTTTGCCATTTTTGCATTACTGTGTAGCTCATTTATCTTCTCATGACATGATGAATCTATTGCTTCATTTTAGTTCTTGGTGTAATAGTCACAAAAAATTAAGTCTGTCTGAGATTTGGATCAGGCCTCTGTATGCATTTTATAGAACTACTTTTTGGCCACTGCTTAACTTTTTACAGTTTCATTTACCATGAGTGTTGAAACTGCGAAAGGGACTGATAAGTTGTCTTCCCTCAGTTTGCTCCCCCCTTTCAGAGAGTAAAGTTAATGTTCACTTCTTGGCTTCGCAGAGGGAAAAATCCATTAATACACCAGCTCACTTGAATTGCTCATGTTGGAAACTGATTAAAAGCTTGCTGCTGCCTCGTCTCGCAAATGGCATGCATTCTGGTTCTCATTTGATGGGCAGCCTGTCAGCTTGTCAAATAACTCCACAGAATAATTCAGTTACTCAAAGCAACAATGTTGATATGGAGAACTTACGTACCTCCTTGCTAGCGATTCTGTGCTTTTCACTCTGAAGGCTGGAAACATGATTTGTGAGTGGGCTGTGGCTTTAACAATGGAAGGCAAAGCTGCTTCACCGTGTATTTCCTTTCTGCCTCTTCCCTTACCCCCTCCCCTTCCCTTCCCTCCACCAGGCTATTTTTATGGTGTACTGAGCTTCCAAACCAAACTGAAGGAAAGGGAAGAGGGGCAAGGTGTTGCAATCCTTAGTTTGCAGATTTAATACATATACCCTATTCAGAAAACACATTGTGTAAGTGGGTCAGCGGTCCCTGCAGCTTTTTATTATTTATAGCCATTTCTATAAATACAGGACTTTACACAGCAGGTTCACAGGGTGCTGTGCATCTTGTAAACTGAAGGGTTTTATCCTTGCTACAGTCTGGAGGTAGCAAATGCCAGCTGTTAGGTTAAGATGGAAATGAAAGTAAGTGATACACACGCGGTGGTGATTCTGCCACAAAAGGCATGCTGTTTATTGATCTGGGAAAACACTGCAGTGACTCAGTTGGAGGACAGGGTTGTCAATGCTATTTCTGTGTGTGATACCCAAGGGATTTTTTTTTTCACTCTGCATGTGTTTCTGTGCAGGCACATGCATGAAAGATAGGTGCTTCTCTGCACTGTAACTGGGACTGATGACAGCTGGGTGGGTGGGAACATGTGTAATCATGGAAGAAACTTCCTGCAGCTGCCCTGCCATGTACTTTAGGATAAAACCTCTCTTTTGGTTGTTTGCTGCCATCGAGAGTGACCTAGTACATGAGGAGATGCTGGGTTCCCTCTCTCTGCGGTGAGCACTGGTGCTTACTGGGTGGGCTGCCAGTGCTGTGCACCCCTATCAGTTGTTAGGCAGACATCTGCAGCTGGAAGGCGTGACATGTTCCTCCAATTCACCCATTTCCATGTGGTAGAGCCACACATTTAAAATACTGAGATGTGCTCTTTTTATTGCTACTAACGTTCAAAAATCTTGTTTTCATCTGGTCAGCAAGATACTTGGAAAACATCACTGTTGCCTTCTGTGAATAAAATAGGTCCCCATTCTTCCCCCTAGTCCCCCCAAACTGTGTAGGATCCAGACCTTTCCCCCCACCCCTCACGTGCAGTCTGGCTTCATGCTTTTTGTTGCCTTATACCAAGAATAGAGCAAACAACTGGGATGTGTGCTGTGTGCTCAAGACTAAGGAAAGTTTTAAATGGTCCCAGTTTATTTTGTGCAGCCATGCAGCATGGTATATTTTGGAAGGAACGCTAGAATGTTGTATCAGAAGTTACAGAAAATGAGGTGATACTGGTAGTTGTTTTCATTGCCTGGTTTGGGAAAGCATGTGCTCAAATATTCTGGAATACAGAACTATTAGAGAAAAATGAGTGCAAGGTAAGGAGTATCATGCTGCATTTACTGCTAAATGTATGTTTTAATTTCATTCAGACTATAAATTAAACAAAGATTGTACCTGCAAAAGAATTCAGATAGCTTTATTTCTCAGAGAGTGAGCATGCAAGCACTGGGGAGCAGTTTACAGGATCAGAACTTTGGCCTGCTCTGGGTGCTAAACCCTCAGTCGAGAGGAAAGAGAAAACCCACTTCTTTAAATATGGTTCTATTTAATAAGAAGAAATATTAAATTGTGTTGGTGGTCAGACTCTAAGCATGTGATTAAACTGTTAAAAAATCAAGATATTTAAGGATTATTTACTGTATCAAGTCCTCTTACACGCAGTGAACTCCATTGCCCTGTGGATAGTATAATGTCATGACTGGTAACTTCCCTTTTCTTTTCTAGTACAAAGATGCATTTATGAAGGCAAATCCAGGATACAAGTGGTGCCCCACAACGAACAAACCTGTGAAAACACAACCATCCACTGTCACAAACAGGAAAAAACTTTGGGCCTTTGCATCAGACTCCACAAAAGACTTACCAAGCCCGAAGAAAGGGAGTAAAAGTGAAGAAATGCCACAGCTTAACTTCGGGATGGCAGGTGAGATTTCCATCCCTGTTACTCAGACATAACATCCTCGCTTTGTTTGAGGATGCAGTGTTGAAACTGAACTGTGGTACCGGTTTTCTTTACTGCACATGGTACTGTAGTGCAAATACCTTTCATGTCCCAAATTAAGTTGCTTAGACTCTATTTAAACCTCTGCATAACAACTTTCTAAGGCTTTCCATAGTGCCTTACTGCGTTCAAGACTCGAGTCTAGATATATGGCATCATAACCCATACCCTATTTAGGGTCTAGATTTGAGTGATTTTAATGTCCTGGTGGAGCTAATTTTTTGCATTTAAATCGAGAGAAGCATAATTTAATTTCACTTAAAATATTCTCTTTTGCCCATTATACCTTGGAGGGGTGGATTCTACCTTTTTAAACATTAAAAAATATAATAAATCAAATCCAAGAATGAGTGTAGGTGGAGTGCCTGAACTGGTGAACGGCAGATAATCTCTCATGGATATCCACAAATAGCAGAACTGTTGCAATCATGACCATGATATACAGAGACATTAATGTTAAATACTGGCAGCTTAAGAACCTGACAGTCAAGGTAGAAAATAATTTTTCCCCCACTATCTTTTTTTTTCAGTTTAAAGTTCCTACTTTTATAAACACTGATGTATTTGAAACTTTGTTATATCCTACCTAGTTTATGACGAGTGTGTGGCAGATAGGAACTTTTCTGCTCAGAGAGATCATGAGTTGGAGTGTAGAAAATTGTGTTATGGAACAAGTGTGAAAGGATAAAAATGGACAAAAAGTCATGTATACCTTTTCGCCAGTATAGTGGTATGAAAGTTCCTGTAATGAAATTCCTTCTGGCTATGGAGGAGCTGTGAAATGTGATCAAAATAGTTTTTCATGCTATATAGTTACGATATACGGGAGACCAGTTCTAAAAATTACAAGCCCCTTCATCCCATTCTGCTTTTGCTATCAGAGGAGTAACTTCTATGCTTCTTAAAGGTTCATTGACTTAATACCAAGAACAAGCAATAGGTCTTGGCCCACCTGCCTGCCATCCTGCACTGTTCCTGCTGGGCTATCCAAATGTTGAATTTCTGAGTACAGAGAGATCTTGAATCGACACCTGTCAGAGTAGAGGACAAAAAATTTAAGAATTAATTAGAAACTAATGTAATCTGTTGTTTTATCTATAGTCCCATTCATTTCTGAAGAAGGCCCTTTTGTGCTACATGTGATTTAATTTTTTTATAATTATTTCTTTTTTTACGGCAGAGTAAGTCAGTGAGCATAGTAATTTGTAGGGGTATCACTCCAGTCCTTGTGTCAATGAAGGCTGGCAATTTCTTGAGTATAACAATAGCTCATAAAATAATGATAGCTTTTGACAGAGATGTTAGCAGCATCCAAATTATAACAAGTCTGCCACGCCAAATGGATTACTCTTTTGTCAACTATATACTAGTTCATGCTAAATATATTCTGTTGCATTCTCTTCTCCTTGACTTCATGTGATAGTTCCGTTCAACTCTGACTGCTGTCCAGCCCAATCCAGGCTGTATACTAGCTGATGCACTAAAATGTAGCTGAACAACCTCAGGAACACTTTCACCTTTGAAATGCCACTGACTATCTTGCATCTTTAAGGCAGATAGCTTCCTTAGTTCAGGGATTATATGATTCCAGAATCATTCCAGGAAGTCTGTTTTACTTCTTGGTATTTGTCAATTCTGTCTTGATTGCATTTTACATATTGCATTTCATTTTGGAAAATGTAATATATAGAGAGTAAGATCTTCCCTTCTTTTTTTAAGTCCCGCACAGGCCATATCTCGCCTTTATTTTTGGCATTCCAACAATAACCACCCCACTTAAGTCTCTCGTGTTGAGCTATCATTGTGTCAAGAATCTGAGGTGTGGCACCAGTGTTGGGCTTCTGACCTTCAGGCCCACTAGTGGTGTCCTTGCTCCTCCAGCCTGGAAATTGCAAGGGAGCATGTTTTTCTCATGGCATGGCTCACCTCTGATTTGTTGTAGAGCGTAGGGCAGAGACAACTGCATTTCGCAGGTGAATCTGACCATTGCAGCATCTACCCTCCCAACTACAGAGCTGAGTGAGCAACAGCTTTGCTATACAAATGTACAAGATTCCCAGTACTTTCACATTTCTACATCAGAAGAAAACCATCTGAGCCAAAAAGCATTTTGGCAAACCAAAGGGTGGAGAAAAGACACTCCCTAGAGTCGGCAGTATCCTTCCTGATGGAGATGCAATTTTTATTTTTTAGAAAGAAGCTTAATTCTGCACTCGGGTAAAAGTTGGTTGAAACTGGTACCAGCTGGCCTTTCTTCTTAGTCCTTTCTCAGTTCTTTCTTTCCTCTGGCTGAAAAATTGCAATGATGAACAAGCCAGCCTGCTGAGTTTCTATCCAGGCCAATGCTAGCAATGTATGTCATTTTCAAATAGTGAGATGGTTTTAAGTTTCATCAGCATTAAAAGCTGTTGAGAAAGTAATGAATGGTCTCCCATTCTGCAAGTTAAATGTGTGTGCTATTTTCTCACTACTGTTGAATGTAACTGTAAAAATTACTTTAAAGTAGCACTTCAGATTCTTAATTCTTCATACCAGTGAGTTCTTAGTACCATAAGAGAAACACTGTTGTGCTGAGAAGGCACTATAAACATATGGCAGTGTTTGCATATGTACATTTTGTCTTCCCTTAGATAAAGTTATTTTGTAATTTGAAACGTTAGTGGAAGGAATTTTGTTTTTATCATGATCAGACGTCTAAGTACCAGCCCTCTGCTACAGCTGCAGCATGAGTATTCAAGTTGTTTAAGCACCAAATTAAACTTTCACTTTCCACTTAGCTGTCATTTTTTTCCTTCCTCTTAATTTTTATATTTAAATAAACATTTTTAAGTATTTGCTTACTTGGGGAAAAAGCAGTCCTATCCTTGTCCTGTCATGGTAAGATACATTTTTGAAGGGCAGAAATCTGAGTCCACCAAGAATATACTAAGAAAGGAAGAATTTGAGAGCCGCAAACTGGGTATTCTCCAGTTGGCCAAAACTGAGGAGGGGGAACAAGACCCACGGGTGACTAAAGTGAAGCATAAGAGAGCGCTTGGGAGCCATCAGTGTGACGTGAGCAAAAGAAAATGCTCTACTGTAGTGTGTCAGGCAAAGTGTTTTCAGGAACTGTAGGGAGGAGTTAATGCCATTGAACAGAGCACAGCTCATCTGATGTGGTTGTCCTGCTGCTCCTTCACGTACAAGGAAGATGAACTCTACCTGAAATAACTGGAGAGGACAACTACAGGGATCATTGGGACAGTGGGAGATGGACGTGCTTGATGACATCAGATTTTTATTTGCTTTGTCTAGGAAAGCAAGTGGAAGAAGAGTAGGATGACTCCTGTAAACACAGAAGAAGGGAATACCATTTAGGCAGAACAGTTATTTAGTCTGAAAGATGTGGGCTCTGATAAAAATGTGTACCACCTGGCCCTGAGTAAATTTAAGCTGAAAACTGAAAGAAAGCTCTTAATGCTTAGAAGATTTGGTTTCTGCAACAGCCTTCCAATGGGAATAAAGAAAGTAGAAAGCAACCAGCCAAGCTCTTACCATTTAATATGGAGCTCAGTAAACTTATGATGAGCCTGGAGATCTCTTCCCATTTCTCCTTCCTCCAGATTAACTGCCTGCTCAGGCATTATCTTTCAAGATAATTGTTCACTTGTCACTTCTTAATTGCTCTGATGTCATCTGAAGGACTGAACAGTTTCTGATGAAGTATTTTGATGGCAAAAAGTGCTGTGCTGACAGGATCACTTCACTCTACGAATTGTGCTTAGGTACTTGCTGGCCATTCCCGTTTGCTGTCTCCATTTCTTCAACCACTTCTTGTTACTAGATCCTACACTTTGGATAGTGCATTATCTCTTTGTAGAAACTTAGTATCTTCTGTTCCCTCTTTTATTTAAAAGTAAAATTAAAAAAAAAAAAAAGCCAAACCCCACGAACAACCAATTTTGCACATTAGGTTTGAAGCCAGATGCTATTTAGGATGTGTTCTTAAGATAATGAGCAACTCTTCTATCCTTGAGATAGTGGATGGGCCTGGTTTATTCACATTGCTTTCCTCTGCTTCTCTTTACTGCTGTTTTAAATGAGTATTGACAAAAAACTTGCCCTGTGAACATCAGTACAAGATGCTGTCTGAAGAACTTTTGGCAGCATCTGTGACACTGGATTAAACAGCACTAGTGACTATTGCTGTGAACTGGGCCTTGATCATCTGTAGCTCTAAATCATTTGGAGGTTTACAAGTACAGTTTTGGCCGATGTTAGCTGAAAAGTTGAACACATTCTTAAGCAAGACTGATGAGTGGGAATGGGCCAGGGGTTTTCCCAGGGGGCATTTTGGTCACAGCTATTCTACATCCGAATTTTGCATAAAAAAATCCAACCAAACAGACAAGGGTAATTGTGCCAGTTGTCCTCCATTACAGGGAATGGTCATGGACACATGTAATTTGTTGTTGTAGAGAGTTTTTCTATAGTTCAATGGAAGGAAATTGGAGAATATTGAGTGCACGCTTAGTGAAATCTGGGGAAAATGACTTACTTCTGGTGTCTCATCATTACTGAAGTTTGTGTCTCAGCAATACAGCAAGGATAATGCTTCCCTTTCTCTCATGTTGTGGCTATTGTGCAAAACATTTGGGCCACAGACTGTCTCCCTCTCCCTACAGGACACTTGTGTTAAATCAGGCCCCTGCATTGCTTCCAAGGCACTCCCCCAAAATCAGACAATTAGTCTTCATAATGATGAAGAGCAACCAGTGTTCTGAGTGGAAAAGCCACTCCATGAGTAATGCAGTGTCAGTGTTCATTGCTTTCACTTGTTTTCTGAGCTCCTGAGGTGCGGGAAGCCTGGAGGCGAGATGCTGTCAGCATCAAATAGTTTGAGAAAGAACATTTATATCTCCATTTTACTTTCCTCAATTATATATTGTATTGGCAGGGCAACAAGTAGGCGAGCAGCTTGCCTGGCCAGTGCTTGCGCTGTTCTGGCAGAGGATCAAGCACTTCATGCTTCAGAGCTGTCAGGCTGGCACTTTTCACCACTAAACGCAACTCTAAATTAAAACTAAATGAAAAAATAGAAATTTTGCTATAGAACTTGATCATACAATTTTGTCCCATCCTTTTACTTGTGCAGTGGCTAAGGAAGGGAGCCACTCCTTTGGTAGGAGAATCCATTGAGTTACAAACGTGTGTGCGATATTAGCAGGTCTTTGTGTATATTTATGTAAGAGATCATTACAGTTGCTGTTTTAAAGATACCCATCTCTGTAGTACATAAAACCTTTGGCAGTAAAATTGTAAATCCACGCAATGGGGTGTTAAGCACACAAATCCAATTAAATCCTTCAAACAGCTTTGAAAGCCTCTCCCAGAGGGTACAGAAATGGTTATTTGTGATTCTCTTGAACTGCCTTTTATGGCAGCTTGCTTAGAGTGTCTGTGACAAGTAGTCTTCTGGGGGTTTAACGCTGCAAATGGTTGGTTCTTTAAGCAAGCAAATGAATAAACTTAAGACTTGGTTTTACTCTTTTAACAGATCCTACACAAATGGGAGGCCTGAGTATGCTGCTTCTAGCAGGGGAACATGCCCTGACTGCACAAGAGGTAAGGGACTCCCCTCTCTCCCTTACCGCGAGTCCTCAGTTTAAAGAGAGCTCTGAAGAGGAATATTTGAGCAGTGGGAAATTAAATTTAAGATGCATCTTGGGTAACCTCCAGTGGTACAGTGGCTGTGAGCCCTGTGATGAGAGTCTTGTAGCCCAACTGTGAATGCAGAGGTTGGTTCCAGATTTTATATCAGTTCAATATTAACTCTTCTGACTGAGTATTTGATCAGACCAGGCAAGTCTGCCCCATGAGAGGATACTGTCAGAGGTAGAAAGATTGACATACAGTGACTGTGTTAATAAACAGGTGGTTTGCAAGCTCTTTTGGGCAAGGATTTCATGTGCTTGTGCAGTGCCTCACACAACTGTGGCCTTGGCACTAATAGCAAAATAAATACCTAGTAATTTCCATACAGTCAGTGTCATTGTATATGCATTCTGAAACCATGCAAGTGCTAAAAGGCAATGGAAGTATTGCAGTCTACTCCTATTCACCAAGTCTTTGTCTAAAGAGAATGTAGTTCAGTTGCCATTACAAATGTTTTGTTTTTATGAAGTAGTCTCATCAATAAAAGTGTTCCTGCATATCTCCAGTAGTACAGAGACCTCTGGCCTTTCTTCAGACTGGTTATTATTTATGATCTCTTTTTTTGGGCCAGCTTTGAAAATTGTTCAAAAGAGTGCCTTGTATGTTGTGTGAAATAGGTAGTCACTGCCATAAATCTCTAGCCTGGAAAGAGGAGCAGTGGAAGTGAGGAGGGTTTCTATTTTTTTTTTTTTTTTTTTTTTTAACTCTTATTGGGAGGAAAAGCAATAATTCACTATATATATGTGACACCCCCCAAATACAAAAGGTGTAGTGCATTTGAGATGGATTGCTCCTGTATTGCCCAGGATCCTTAATGCTTTGTGCACCAGTCTGAACAGTGGAAGTCATTGTGCAGATGTGGGTACTGGATTTCTTTGCTGCAGCATGAAAAATAAGAAACACCTAGGGTAAGGTTGGCAGAGAAGTGAAAAGAAATTTATTATTTTCTACTAAAATGGGAATGTCCTCTAGTTTGCAAACTTTGAGTCTCTCGGCTTTACAAACTGCTTTTACTGTGCTGTTATGTTTCAATGAGAGGGAATGTGTATTGTAGCCACAGATACTCAGTTCCATTAAGAAGGGGTTTTGCTGTGACCTTGTGAGTTGAGCTTGCTTGATTTTACATGAAAAGTGCCTCAAGTAGTACGATTTCAGATGGCAGTGAAGGAATAAAATCTACATGCGGATTCAGAGACAAACCAAAAAGGATGTTGTGTGATTGTTTTAGCATATAAACATTTTTTTGATCGGGACTTCATTTTTTTTGAGCATAAGACACATTTTCCATGCACCTACATAAACCCCTTTTTTTCTGATAGAAGCTGGTAGTATGACTTGTGATATACTACTTACTTTATGTATACGCTATACTACACTGTGCTGTTTTGGGCCTGTAGTCTTTTGAAACCTGGCCCTCCACATCAGAGACAAGCTGTGTAATCTGCTTTCCCCCAAAATATAGAGCAAAATAATTGTCATAGATATAGGCTGAACAAAACTAGTTGAGGGCTTTGTTGACTGTTGCTAGAATCATGATGGGCCAGAAATTAGTCAATATTTACTAATGAGTGACCATATTTTACTTGGCCAACACTATCTGAGAAGCAGGTAGGTGTCAGAGCACTTTCCCAGGGAACAAAACTGCATATCTCCAATTCTTTCAGATGGTCCCCTATGTAAAATACATCCTCCAGAACAATCTAGGTACTTAGTGTTTTCAAAGGGACCCAAATGGATGAAGTTCAGTCCTCCTAACTGTGTCAGCAAGAGTTAAGTCTCCAGAGGTGTTTCTGTGCACTGGGAAACTTTCTCAGTTTCTTGGTGTGGCAGCCCTGGTTGTGTCTTCCATTTTCCATTGTTTCCTTTTGAGTCAGTGTTTCAGTGGTGATTAGATATGGAGCAGATATTTCTTAGGCTTGTGTTTCCCCAAATGCAGTAAAGATCCTAAACCTGTTTAGGCTTGGGTAACTGAGCAGCACTTCTGGCTTCCCATCCTCAGGCGTGTGGACAGAGGAGGCATAACATGTTCATTTTTGCACGCCTGTGGGACAACCTGGGGTTGGATTTCCATGCTTATTCTTGAAAACAGTTTCATACTTAAACCAGTGTTTGGGACATTAGTGAGGCGCAGAATCACGACTTTAGAACCAGTAAGGTTATAAAGTAGGTATGTATACTCAGCGCTGGGCGCATGGGGGAATCATTTCCTCCAAAGGAAGGCGCACCTTGGAGCCAAAAGTGGCTCCTTTTTATTACGTAGAATGTTACATATGTATCACAATTCCGGGAATAGGGAGAGAATATTACAATTAGTTCCGAGAAATCCTTAAAATATCCCCCACTCCAAGTGCACCAGCTCAGACCCTCCCCTAGCAACTCCCTTGTTATCAGATAAATGGCATGTCTTAACAAAACACAGGGCAAGTCCCAACAAACAAAGGGCATGTCCCAACAAACAAAGGGCACGTCCCAACAAGCAATCTTGAGAGACAAAGGGCATGTCTCAACCCCCAGGTTCAACGTTTCCTGAGGGTGGGGGGTGCCATCTGGTTTCCTTAGATCATTAGCAGAACCTGCTAGGAGGTGGTATGCCAGGCTCAGTAAGAATCTCAAGAATTCATTGTAGAATTGGTAAGCTGCTTTCCTCCTCAGTGGAGGGGGAGTTAGTCGTGTTGTGTTAGAGTTGGTATTGACATGGGGGACAATTTGGTGTACTAAGGTGATTGATGAGGTGTTGGCAGGTTCAGAACTTGCTTAACTATGGAAAATAGAGGTATTGGTTTTATATGCATGCAAGTATATAAATATATGTCATATATCTAAACCAGTGGCATTTCTGGTTTGTTTTTTTTTTTTAAAGGACAGATGCAGTGTCATTTTTTAAAGAATGCTGTGAACTATATCATGTAGTCTTTGTTATCATTAAAGCGTGTGTGTGTGTACATGTAAGATACACGTGCATATGTTTCTTAAACTGGGGGACTGCCAGATTTAAGATTATCTGTCAGCATGCAGTTTGACTGCTTGTGCATATGTATGATTATGCAGACTTGGATGGCCTTGTAAGTGTAGGTCTTAAATACTATTATCACCTTAAAAAATGTTAATAGAAAGGAGGGCAGCACTGGCATAGTTTGCTCAGAATTTGGGAGAAGATGAGGGAAATTATACTTAGAGGTCTGCTAATCCCAAGTAAATGTATTCAGTGCCTGCTGATATTCTTGTCAAGCGTACGTTAAATGGATGTATAGGGACTTTTCAAGGCAGGTGTTTAACCTTCGAGAAGCCCAGATGTCAGGTAACAAAGAGAACAGGAGCCAGCAGGAGGATGGGAAGAGGCAAAACAGTGTTGAGGCTTCAGCTGCCATCTCTGGATGTTGCCAGTTGTGTTCCTATTTTTATAATTATTTTTCAATGGACTAGAGAGTTTTTCTACAGATAACAGAATCTGGTGTCAGTACATGCTTGATTTCCAAGCAGCAGCTGGAGTTAGTAAGCAGATCGGCAGGACAAGCTACAGACTTCACCCCAGCAGTAAACAAAGGACTTGCAAAAGCAGTGAGTTTCCACCTGGCTTTTGGGTCCTTTCATCAGTTGCACAAGACTGGTGTGTATATGTGCATATTCTGTTGAACACCCGAGCAGAAACGCCAGGCGGGTCTGCTCCAGCTACTGCCGTAGTGCTGGGCAGAGCCCGGGCCTTGCAGCAGGCTTGCTTGCAGGAGGGAAGGCTGAAGCTGGGTAAGGGGTGCGCTCCTTGCTGGCCCTCTCACCTCCCTTACTTGCCCGGGAGGCCCTTTGCTTGCCTTACAGCAGCACCTAGTGGCCTGTCTGTAGGTTACTGCCCAGAAATCCTGGAATTTGTCACGTAGCCCAAAACCTGGCTCTCGCACCAGTTTCCCCCCAGCTGCTTCCCCGCACACCAGGACAGCGTTAAAGCCTCACACCGGCCAGTGCGGGAGGCGAGCCAGGGGCTGTCCTTCACCTTTGCTGGGTGTGATCCACTTTAGAGCAGGTTATGGTAACCTGCAGAGAAAGGGAGGCTGTGAAGGCAGTATCCTTGGGCTTTTCATCCCTTTGAGAACAAAAAGTAGCCTTGCATGCGGTGCCGGGTCTGCTCAGAGTGGTATTGCCCGGGTGTAAATCAGAAGTGAAAAATCTCTCAGTGCAACGGAGGGTAAGCTGGGAGGAGGAAAGAGGAGAAGAAATGAGGTGATGTTGAGGACATTTAATTACAGCATGAAATGAGACGTATGCAATGGCGCTATCTGTGCATCCATTCCCTCCAGTAATTATTTTAACATTTTGATCAGGTTCAGCCTGGCAGAGATTAGAAGTCCTGGAGGTAACAAATTTCCCACAAGTCAGGAGTGTGTGGGTAGCAGCAGAGTAGAAGAAACAAGCTCAAATTAGTGCTTCTGTCAAGCAAAGGCACAACAGCATTAGCTTTTTAAAGATAGCTGAAACCAATAGGAAAAACACAGTTGTTCAAACCACAAAATCTCCTCCGAGTTCCTGGGCACCAGCAGTCTGTCCTTTACACACAAAGCTGTAGGAAACGGGGCTCGGCGCCTTCCACGGCGTGCGGTTCCGCTGGCGCGAGGGGACCGAGCTGTGCCCGACCCCCGGCCTCGGCGGCAGCGAGAAGGCTCGTCATCACCCCCCCCCCCCCCCCGTGCCCGCCCGGGGGCCGCTGCCTCACGGCGCTGGTGTGGCAGGGGCCGAGCCGGCAGTAGCCCCTCTCGGGGGGCTCCCCTGCTCGGAGCTGGTGCCAGCTGGGCCGCGTGTTGCTGACACGTTCACGCGGACGTGCCCCTCGACGGGCAGCGGAAGGTGCGGGAGCCACGGCCTCCGTCGCGGCGGGCAGGCCGGCACTCACGGCCTCCTCGTTCACATCGCTTCTCCTAAGCCAGGCGGTGCCCTGGCATACGGCCCGCTGAATAGGCTCCACTTGTGAACAAACTGCTTCAAATACATACCGCAAGCTAGGCTGTGTAAGGCAGCTGGTCGAACTGCAGAAAATTTAAGTTATATGGGGAATCGATTCCCAAATTTGGTTGTTCCTGGGAGAATCCCACCAGTGAAGTGGCCTGAAATAACCGAATGAATGCTCAGACATGCAAGCAGCAGCCTTACATATTTCATGCCAGTACAGAGACTTAGAGCTTCAGAGATGGGTCACTCAACAGCAGCAAGGGTGGTATGCATCCGTGGTACAACCCACACCACTGCTGGGGCACAGACATCTCAAACGGAATGTACAGAAGCCTGAGAAAAGCGGTAATAAATACTACATCGGTGGAAACAGTAACGCAAAACAATGAAAAAGCAAAAGACAGTTGTTAAAAATACATTCTTTGTAACCCTTTGCCTTGGTATACTCCCATAATACACTGATAAAACATCCTGCTTGGCGTTTAATTAATAAAATGGAAGCATAGATTATAGGAGACACTGTTACTGCTTGGTTTTACAGCAGGAAAGAAACAAGTTCAACTGTATGGAAGCAGATTGTTGAGTCATATAGTTCCCTTTGGCCTGTGGGTTGCTATGCTTGCGTTTAGTGTTTTCAGGGGAGTATGGGTAGCAGATTTCTGAAACAAAATGACAGCGGTGCTATTGCAGTGCTTAAGCATCCCAGACAAACAGCAGCAGGAGCACCAGTACAAACTGCATGTGCTGCAGGCCTGCTTATTCTGTGGTGCTTTGTGCTTATGGGCAACGGGTGCAGTTGCTAGCTAAATCTCATGTGTGCGTTCAGTAAGAAATGCTATTGACATGCTTGTTTTGGTAATAAATAAGGGAACAAACACATTTGCATCAAAATGTTTTAAATAAACTGAAATTTCATGGAAAAATTAAAAATTGTTACAGAAAAAAAATTCCATCCTGTTACTTTTCCTGAAAACCCACAAAGCCTCCTTCCTTTCTTCTGTTTCCTGTAAGCCATGTTACATCCCTTATTTTATACTAAGTACCTCATTCTTCTAGGTTTTACACATGTAAACCTTTTACACTGAGATGTGACATTAATGCATGTATCACGTTTGTTACAATTCCTTAATAGATTGATGCTTGATTAACGCATTTATAGCTAATAAGAATAGTACAGCTAAGCTCTGTGTTAATTTGAATAAGGCTGTTGTTTTTGAACAGTCATTTCTTTGTGTTTTGATTTCAGAAGTTATGACTCTTTCTTGCACTGCTTCTCATAAGCACCCCTAAATGAATGTTTAGGTACATTATTTGAGCAATTTTAGGCTTGTGGTACCTTTGACTACTTATTTTCATGCTGTTAGGTGATAGGGGATTATTTTTCTAATAAGTATTTCTGTCACTTAGCAACTTTCAGTATCTTCAGAAAATTTTTTTTAGTTTCTAAGTAATTTTCTTGTTCAGAGTGGTAGTACAAATTACAGATATAGCACTGTTGATAGCATTACCAGTATAAGGTAGTTGTGTGTGTGTGTGTGTAGCCCAATATCATCAGTTTAGTATTCTGTTGCATAAAACTCTTTTGCAAAGTTTGGAATTATGAAAGGAAAAAAAAAACAAAAAAACAAAAAAACAAACACAAAACTAAACCTGGTATCCTGGTATTTTTGTGGTCTGTATTCTTAGGTGATTTTCAAATGTATTAAAATGGGTGCTAAGCTATGTTTTCACCTATAAATTTGATTTAACCTGTCCAGGACTGTGAAATATTAAATTGCCCGTCTTCTCTTAAACACTGCTTCTTGCTACTGGTGCCTAGTATTTTGTTTTGTTCACTGTTGTCCTTAGCTTGAAAGAAGCACATTTGAGGTCTTACTCTGCACACTTCTTGTTTCAGGTTTCCTCAAGTACCTGCCAGTCTGATGGAACTAATTCTACAGAAGCCTGTCAGAAGTCATCATTGTTTCAGTTTGCAGAGGTGAGTTTCTTTAACAAGGGTTGTCTTCCCTAGTGTTTCCTTTTAAGAAGCATCTGATTTTCAGCTGAAAGAGAAATCAAAAATCTTGAACTAAAATTCATGCTTTTATTTGTCCCTTCTTTTTTGGGTTTATGGTACTGGATCATTTATCAGTAGATAGGTCAGACTTGAAGTGCAGGAGAGTGTGTTTAGGAACATGGTGGAAGCCTTGGTGTAGTAGTGGAGCTGTGGTTTAAGCAGTCATTTAGAGATGTGTCATTCCTGCGCTTAGTTTTAAACTGGTCCTACTAACTAAAATTTTAACACATGAATTTGGAGGTTACATAATGTCCTTTATGTATTGTGGCTGCTTTAGTTGTTAACTCCATCAAAAATAACTTTAGTTCTAAAATGTCCAAAATTTTCTTCTATTCTATAACCTCTAAAAAGCTGCATGCAACCATGCTTTAGATTTGCTATATACAATATTTTTGTCGACATATTTACAGTTATTGCTAGAAGTGCAACTGTGGTGGTTTGGTTTTTTTGTTTTAATGTACACTATTTCATCCAAATTTTAATGGATTTCATTGACATAAATAACACAGGAATTAGGTTGCAAGGAATCCTGGTCCTCTGCAAGCATCACTTGCTTGTTGGTACCTTTCCAGCTTTTGAAATGGTCATAATCAAGTGACATATAATTATTTAGCTATGTAAATACTGATTGTACAGGGCCCTGGGTGGTGTTTGAGTAAGTGCATATGGAAAAGAAATTTAGTCATGGCAAGGCTTTCTTTTTATTACCTGTTTTCACACCAGCTGTGAATTTGACTCCTGTTGTGTCTTTAATACTCGTTGCTGTATGCACCTTCGTGCTCCTCCCTAAACATCATCACTTACGGAGCAAATAAATTGCAATGCTGGAACACAGAAAATGTGATTGGTTTTGTTTTGTATTATTTTGTATTTGTTTGTTTTAACATCAACCCACAAGACCTTGAGTTCCAACTTAAGATCTGAGGGTTTCAAAATCTGTTAGAAATAAAGTAAAGCACTGATCCTTTATTTCTGATTAAAGGTAATGGCCAGAGTGAAGTACATAACCTGGAATTGGGCTCTTAAACAGGCTGTTGGCTTTTCTTGTTAGGAAGAGGAAATGCCTGGTGTGCAAGCAATGAAAAGCAATATTTAAAAAAAGTCTTAAAATGGTTAATTCCGGTGTCAGTTGTGATACTTCTGTGGTAGTAACTCAACATCCATCTTCCAGTATTTCTAAGATGCTTTTGTATACTTACACTGTTAGTTGAGCAATGTCATACTTTGGGTAGTTCCTCTTGATAATAGTCTGTTTCTTGAATTTCACTGCAAAATCTTTTAAAGAGTAAGAGAAATACCAGCTCACTTAATTGTTTCAGTTCATTTTACAGAGCCCAAACAGGAAGGTTCCAGAGCCACGTCATAGTAGGCAGGAATTGTGTGCTGTGCTGCAAGATACACTCTTGCTAAGGGCTTGTCACTGCTGGCTTTTCCTTACCCATTGAAGAAGAACTTCAGTGGGTGTCAGGGAACAAGCTCATCTACTCATCTAGAACATGCAGTTTAGAAGTAGCTCACTGATTATCAGTAATTAGAAATGGATATTGGCTAGTCGTACTTTTCAGTGATGTTAAACAGCCTGTAGTGAGGCTGCACCTAACCAGTGCATGGTTGGTATGTATCAGTGGCAAAATAGTTGGTACTTGTACCAAGGTCTAACATTAACCAGAGGTGTCATTTGCAATGAAAATAATTGACACAGTTTGAACAGTATAAAGTACAGTTAGTTACCTTAGTGTCTGGGATAGATCTGGTATCTCAAAGTACCTGCACGCACTGTATCCCTGTCCACACTTAACCTTCTGTTCTGAGTAGCAATTTGTGCTCTATCAGCACCACCATTCTGCAGTCTCAGGCCTTTCACTGAACTGTGAAATACAATGTAGTGTTAAGTTTTTGTTGCTAACCTTGTTCTGACATATCAGTGGGCAAATAAAATCCCTTCAAAAAGTTTTAGCCTGTTCTGTTGATTCTAGGAAATATTTTCCTTGGGAAAAAATAATTCAAGATAAGTGTTTCACAGATCACTCAGTTATGTGTCTCCTGGAAAGTGGGTACTGTTCTTTGTATGGGTGTGGTGGGACTTGTTTGCATGCTCTTAGGTACCATCATACAATCTTTCTGTATGATGGATCAGAAATTTAGCACATTGAATTTTGATATTGAAATTGAAGAGTTAGGTAATAGAAGCATAATCGTTTTCCTGACAGATCTCTTCATGCACATCACAGCCTGGAGTCCCGGGAGCTGTAAAACAAACTGAGGAGTCTGCATTGTTTCAGTTTGCTGAGGTATAATGGCTGAAATATGGTGGGGGAGGATGGGAGGAAACAAGGAAGCAGTAAGAGTTGTCACTGAATGACTAAGCACCCTGTCTCATAAGGGATTCCCATCAGTAGATCCTTATCTTCATGACAGCATTGTGTTAATTCTGGGGGGAATAACCAGTGATGGGAGGAGATGTTGGCCAGTTTTACCAGCTGTAGCATACACAGAGGGTAGTGGGCTTGTCAACATTGCCTGGCCTTCCATACCAAAGGACCACTGCGGGCATATTTTCCAAACAGCCTTTTAATTTACATCTAGGAAAACAAATGAAAAGACATTCTGGAATGACACTATGCACTGCCTATGGGAAGAGGCTGCAGCAGTGCAAAGTGGCAACTGCCTTAGAGGCAGGAATCCTTTGACAAATAACCTTGCAGGTCAAAGGAAGCTACAAGGATGTGTAACAACATCATTAGGTGGTGACTTATAAAGCCTATAAATTACCCATAAGTATATAAGCTATCCTCCTTCCTCCACGTATTGAAGATTTGGTGTTCTTAAAGCTTGCTTTCAATAGTTTTTTCTCCCATGTGTTTAACTTGCCTCGTGAATTGACTTTCCACACATACAGTCTCTGCCCATTTCGGGGAGTCTGGTGCTGCTTGCAGAATCAGTTATGATAAAGGTATATTCAGGGTGTGTCTGAAAAGAATGGGATTGGATCTGGTGCTATTGTGGAGGAGCATAATGGGATGAAAAGATACCCGGCTTGTTATTCAGTGTGCTTACAGAAGATTGACAACATATGACATGCTGCTTTCTGTTAAATGTTAATTGTGTACTGTGTGTTTTTAGCCTGGCTAGGATGGGCCTCAATGTATTTCTTAGGAGGCCCAATTAAGAAAAAACTTTTTACTGATTCAGGTGCCATAAAATACCTGACTACAAACACCGCTGTAAAAGATACAATAGAATTAATATCTCTCATCATGAAGATGTTTTCATATGTGCCACCTTTTTTTAAAGTTAGAAGTTAATTTGGGAAGTTCTTTTGAGCAAATTAGTGGAAACGAGCAGGATTAAGTCATGTGCTGAAGCCAACCTTTTAAACCAAGTTAAAGATACAAGCCGGAGAACATTTCTTGTTAATTTTATTGCAAAATATTGCACGAATGAATCTGCTAGCTTAATTTCAAAAATCTTAGCCGTCTTATATTTTAATTAAACAGCAGTTTTAGATATCTTCAGAGTTGAACAGGGTATGAATTGCATTTAGTACAGCATTTGCAAATTGTCATGTATAGCCTGATTTAGCCACACTGTCAAAATTTCACAGAACCTAAAATCATTTCCTCCTAATTGAACAAACAACAAAATGACAAACCTGAAAATTGTCATGTGGATTGAAAATTGTCAGTGCACTGAGTTGCATACTACTACACTGAGCCAGCTCATTTGGCACATTGGAGTGCATGTACTAATCATCAAATGTTAGGTAAAAGAGGTGCTTAAAAAGTTAGAAACTGATGAGGAGAGTTTTAAAGTCAGGGCTAATCTCTTTTTCTTGTAAAAATACTAAAATGTGTATGCTGGAGTGGGTTGGGGTTTTTTGGTTTTTTTTTTCAGTGTCTGGAAATAAGGGACAGGAACCTAGAAAAAACACACCCTACCCCTCCACGCCACCCCACCCCACCCCCCCCCCCAAAAAAAAAAAAAACAAACCAGTACAAAATACCATGTTGGCCATGGTTATTCCTCCTGTGCTACACGGTTGTTGTGAAACCTTAATCGCAGTGACTAATATCATCTTTTATCTATAACAATAGAGAAATGGCATATTTTTTTTTTAACATTGCAGCCTGATTTCATTGAGCTTGTTCCAGGGGAAAGTATTGAGCATGCTGCAGAGCCTCTTTAAGCTTTCTCCCCCCTGCTATTAAAGCTGCTTGTGCTCTTTCAAGTATATAAGGGCTTTCAGTTGCACAGGGTGTCTTTGTCAGGTTTGGCAAAAATCCCGTTCCTAACTGTGCCACTTCTTACTGGGTCCTGTCTATGTGAATGCATTACTGCATTTAGTAAGCTAAATTATGGTGCGCAATTTGCAGTAGGCTGCTGTCAGCAGTGTACAGTACAACAAAAGAAAAAAGAGAGGGAGAGAAAATAGTTACTTAGCCAGTAGCCAAGTAGACCTGTGAAGAAATGTGAAGTGTGCTGTGGTCGGATGTGCCTGGAGACTTTTGGCAGCTGTCCCAGCTCAGTTTTGGTTCTGGCTGGGTGTTCTTCATCTGTTCCCTTTCTCTTCACCACCTTTGCGGCAGGGTGAGTAAGAGTGACCCTTTGTGAAGACAGCGATCCCACTGAGTAGATTTGTCATGTAAAATGGACACCTTTACCCCTGGAGTACAAGTCCCCTGTCACTCAGAAACAGCTCCGTTATATGTAGACGTAGCACGGGATTCTTTTTGTCTTTACAGCCTCAGCCTTTCATCTGGTTGTCTGTCCCAACTGCTATAGTCATCAGTTAAACCTGTTGAGGACATGGTTAATGAGACCTGCCTAGTGACTTGCCACAAGAGATGATGAAAATTCTGGGAGTAGGACTTTGTTGGGCCCTGTGGGTGTGCAGGCAAGCGCCAGGGAGGTCTTAGAAGATGATGTGAAGAGTTTTTCAAAATTTGGAGTGTTGTCAAGCTATGCTCTTGGCTTTCTCATTCTGCTCTGATCCTGCAAATACTTGGTCCTACTTTTGTCCTTCTCATTGGTACCTTTATGGAAAGCCATTATATAGGCCAGTGATTCCCGAGCAGTGGGCTGTGTTCCTTAGTGCGGTGGCTGTTCGCAAGCTGTCTGCTCTCATGGGCTGGTTGCTGTCACCCTCCTTGCCACGTGAGGGAAGCAGAGCAGATGGACCCCTTGCTCTCTTGGTCTTACTGGATGTGTATTTGGCAAACACAAACAGATGGTGATGGCTGCTTTGTTGAGAAGAAACAAGAGTACCTCTTGGATTTACTTAGCTAAACCCTCATCCATTATTAAACAAAGAAAATGCTTCCAGAGAGTGGAAGCAATGACAATGCTAGTTTAACCATCTTAAAAACAAAATGAAGCCAGAATCCCCCAACCTCTTCACTTTCAGCTGCTTTTCTGAAGTTTTTCTCTAGGTGATTTAACCAAAGAAACAATCACACTCAGCATGCAACAAGGTGGAATTTTCTTTGCCAGTCCAGGAGGTTACTGTCGTTTAAGAAAAGTGCGTGCCTGAGGATGATTTTGTCCCTGCTGCATTCTCACATACTCACTTTGAGCGAGTTTGCAAGCAACCCTTTCTGTTTATTTCTGTGCTGAACAGAAGGTTTGAATCCAGAACTTTTGGTCAAAATGCCTTGAAACTGGGAGGTGTGAGAGCTAGTTAGTATCTTCTCTTCCAGCCTTCCCTTAGATGAAGCTGTAATCTTCCCAGGTAAAGCCGCTATGTAAAATAGATGAATATATTTGCTGTTTGCCTGTATACTAAAATTATTAAATATCTGTGTTGAAGTGAAATGCCTATTCTAGGGGGGAAGTGAAAAAGTGGTACCATGGTACATGCTCTTATGCAAACTGGAATGTCATATAATAGGTAAAATGCTGACCTGTCTTGTAATAAAAGACAACAACTTCGTCCTAATGATCCCCAAGTTAAACCTCTACATAAGAAGGGTCTGTTTGTGGTTGTAATACTGCAGGTTCTGATTATTCTAATTAAAACTGGAAGATGGTGTTAAGACAGGAATGAGATCTGTAATCTCATTGAGAGCTGATTGATCAGCCGTCCTCTTACTTCTGATGTTTGGCCAGCAACTTTGGCAGAATGAGTTCTATGTTTGTCTCTTGTAGTTTGGTTACTTGACTATTAAGAGAATTTTTTTTGCCGAAGTTAAATGTTGGCTTCCTCTCTTGCTGTTAGTACTACAAGGATCTCGCTCGCATTTTGTTGGGAGCAACCATTCTCTTGTCAAAATGAAATTTGTTACTTTTTCCTCACATTGTGCATCAGGAGGCAAGATATGCCTGCATGTTCTCAGGTTATACTTCAGTGTGTGGGTGTTTTTGTGTCCCTTTTCTGCCACTCATACTGCACTGAAAAAATCGTTATGAGCAGAGAATTTATTACAGTAGAAAGATAAAAAGTTGAGGCCCTCTTCCTGCAAAATGCACTGTACAAGATCACTTACTCCAGTGAGGTCCTGAGTAGGTTCACTGAACCGTCTCAACGCAAACCTAGGATTTTGACTTATTTTAGTCAAATATTAAAAGTTATTACTAATGCACATTCCAGTATTATTCACCGTATTTTAAATAGTTTGCAGTAGAATTAATGGATTTTGGTAGGGGTGTGGGGGGAGGTGTGTGTAATGGTTCTCCTTGAGAACTGAAAAGTAAACTCTTCGAATAATCTAGTTCAAAAGAAAGACATTAAATACAAAGAGAAGGTCTAAGATATAATTTTTGCATCTGAAAGATCATGGTCATAAGTATGATTTTTGTGATGAGGCAGATGCCACGGAAACACTGGTGGTCTTGCCCTTAAACTTAGGGCTTTTCAAGCCTTCCAGGTCAAATACTACAAGGTAACACCATGCCAAAAAAAAAGTCAAATATGAGAAATAACAATTAGTTCTTGTTGATGAACTCAAAATGCTGCACTTGGAAGCAGGTCAGAAAAAAATTGGCTGCAAAAGCAATTCCCTGATGTGCGGTGGTGGTTACTTATTCAGCGCTGGTGCTGGCAGACCAACATCTATTTAGAAGGTTGGATTTGATCTCCAGATGTAAGGTCTGTCTTCTTTTTTCTAACTAAAGGAAGTGAAACAAGCAGTGACTTTGAGGACAAATGGTCCTCTTCTATATCTCACCAAATGGGAAATATTACTGAGGCTTTCCAGGAGAATATTATTTAACCTTGACCACCAGAGTTCATGTTCTTAAGCAACAGGTATGTCTTGCTCATTTAGTCATGTAAAGCACATGGGATCATAGAATACTAGCTGTGGACAATACAAATGTAGAAGAGAACCCCTGAGCCTCATCTAAGGAAGAAATTCTATATTTGCTTGTATCCTGCTGACTTCTAAATGCCTGTTAAGAGTTTTTTGGATGGGATTGCCTATCTGAACTAGGGCCTTCTGCCAGAAAAATCTAAAAGCAACTGATTTAACTAACTCTTTAATTTTTTCATTCTTTTTCTCCCTTCCTTTCTGTCTTTTCTGTGTGCCACTGAAATATTTTCTCCTCTGTTCATTTAAAACCTAGATCTCATCAAATACTTCCCAGTTGTCAAGTCCTGAGCCAGTAAAGTACTGTGGGAAGTCGGCACTCTTCCAGTTGGCAGAGGTAAAGTTATACCCATTAGCGTCACAATAGGAAGATGTGTGTATCTTCTCCCCCAAAAAGTATGAATTATGTAAATTTTGCTCCAGTATCAAATTCAGTATTTCCAGAAGCATAAATTAATAAATAATGGAATATCAAGAGAATTAGGCAGTGACAATGGCCCCAGGGACCTAGCTTTTCTTTATACACTTTGTTAATGTGCATAGTTTCTAGGAGACAGCACAGAAAAACTTCTTTTTAGAAAAATTGGCCTTATAACTATAATAAAAACAGTGCTCAAGGACAAAAGCAATGGCATTCTTCTTAATGAGGAGCTGGATGCCAGGATTCAAGGAGTAAAGCTTTGGTTATAAGGACTGGAAGGTGCATTGCTGCATTGGAGACCAAGAATAAGAAAAGAAAAGTAGACTTCGTCATCATCAGGAATCTGTATGCAGAGTTGGAAATGGAAGCAGTGTTTTAAGTTCTGAAATTGGCAGCTGTCAGCAGTAATCAAGAATACTAGTCAGGTTTCCTAAAAGTTCTAGAAATGCTCTATGAGTCTTAAATATAACCTTGTAGAGGTCTCCTCTTTGATACGGTTTAATCACTCAAAAACCTTTGAGGCTTGGTATGCAGATAATATTCATGGTGATTGAAAGATGAAGATGAAAAAGTACATGCTGTATTCCAGGTAAATAAGGGAGGATGCTCACACCGTACTTGTACAATTTTTGCCCTTTTTTTTTCTTAATCAAAATAGCATTCTATTTCAGTGAGGAAAATTGTTCTCTGGATCCCATCTCGTGGCATCCAGCCATATTCTTGCTGGTGAGGTTAATCTCTTGCAGGGAAAAAAAAAGAGATTGAAAACACTGAAATAAAAGTATGTCACACCTTGTTGCATGGATAGTAATGCTACTCTCTGACTTTATAGGAACTTCTGTGAATGGAAGAAAACCTGCCTTACCCTACTGGCAGTCCCTGGCAGTAGTAGAGTTTCTGGGTGCGTGCTGTGTGGTCAGCATTGCCTTTGCAAGGGTGATTACACCTAACTGTGATCAGTGATCCTTCTGGGTATTCGACTGTTGCTGCCCTGGGTCAGCAGAAAGGCTGGTAGTGTTTAGTCAGGGACGCCAGAAGTCTTTGAGGTGTCCTTTTACAGGACAGCAGCAGGTTTTGAGTAGTGCTGTTCTGGAGTAAGGCTGTCGCCGAGTGCAGCCTGACTTTTGGAAGTCAGCATTAAAAATTGTGATGTGACTGTGAAGCTTGTGAAGCCCTAATCTGGGGGAAGGACAGGTGCTTGTCCACAGGAGTGCAGAGATTGTGCTGCAGTTGGCAGAAAAAGTAAAGCTAAATCTGGCAGCCTGCTGTTCGCATGTTGGACAGGTTTCCGTGATCTCTCTCTTGGTGATTGCGCCAATGGATTCTTACAAGCCTAATTTAGTATACAAAATGAATGTTAAAGGCTCTGATTGAAACTGAGAAAAGCATGGCAGATGTGCTAAGCACATCCTCCTCGTCTCTAGCTCTTGTAGGACATTAGCGCTATTGATTTTGATTATTTTTTCCAGTTTTGGAGACCTCTGTAGTGTTGGATTGTAATTCGATAAATAAAATAAAGAGAGATTCGGCTTAAGTTTTCAGGTAGCAGTTTGGGACCTGGTTTGGAGCGTCCCAGATAAGCCCTGTTCGCCATCCCTTTGAGGCTGCCTTAGGTTTGCACGTTGGCTTGGCAGACACCTGTGCCATGCTGCTGTAACCCCAAACCGTGGGTGCTGTGCGCTGGAGGGGTCTGGGCCGCCGTCCCCACGCTGCTGGTGTGGCAGGGGTCTGCTCCAGCACGCCACGCCACGCCGCCTCCCTCCCTCTGCTGTGTGGATCGACCAGTGTTACCTTCTTACTCCTCCCCACCCCTTTCCATGCTTCCCTCTTTGACATTTCAGGGTATTTCGCAGGTGGTGATAAAATAAACCGCAGAAGTGGGTTAAATTGTTTTCGAAAAAATTCTGAGAATTTCTAAGTTTCTGAACACGACTGGGGCAGCCGCTCTGTAGCCTGAAGCCCGGGAGGCTGCTGGTCAGCTCGGCTGAGCGTCTGGCCGTGCCTGGATGCGTGCGTGGCCTCGAGCCTCCAGCGTGGGGAGCGCAGGGAGACCCGGGTGGGGGTGCACGACACTCCCCTTTGGGGGGGTGGGGGGGCGGGTTCTGCTTCTGCCGCAGAGTGCCGGCAGCACCGACAGCGCTTGGCTGTGAGCAGCACGTAGAGACGGGAGCTGTAGTGGTCAGAGCTGGGGAGGTGCTGTGAAGAGCTTCCAGGAGACATAGAGATAGCGCTGTTAACCTTTTTTTGTTTATTTCCCTTACGGCAGTGATGGGTTGGTATCTGCAAAATCAGCTTTGTGGGCCCATGTTGGTTGAGAGCAATGAAGAGTGAGTGGGGGGGGTAGGGGAACCTAAAAGTTTGTAAACGCTTTAGTTCCTCAGTCCCTAGAACCCCACCTCTCTCTAAGAAAGCAAGTATAAGAAGCCAGCAAGCCCGATCAGAGATGGTGTATGTCCTTAAAATCAGAACATTTTCTTCTTCATACTAATGGTCAGTCTTGAGACAGATGTTTTTAATTTGTTTAGAAAAAGGTCATTTCTTTGCACCTAGCTCAGAACTGATACAAAGCACTCTAAAGTATTGAAAAGGATCACGACCTGATGCAGGAAAAAAAATTCTGGAGAATAATCAGCTACCTGCTTGCCAGACAGCCTCCTGTTCTTTGAAGAGTATTAAAGGTTACCAGAGGTTTGAGGGCTGCTACTTCACTTGGGTTTCATAGTACCTCTTTCATATGAGTCCTGTAGGACACCAACAGGCAGTTACTGACGGGAGTAACCTTAATAAACTATGACAACAAAACGATTTGGCAATCACATGTCCAAGTGAGCCTTTGAAAACACGACCAGTGGGGTTGCATGCTGGTGTAGATCAGTGCTTAGCTGCTGGGCTCTGCTGGTGGGCGAGAGCATGTGCTTCCGTGCGGCCTGCTCTGCAGAGGGCCTCCGGACAAGAGGATCCCTAAATTTGCAGATACCTTTTAGTGTCCGGTGGTATCATCCACAGGAACAGTGGTGGAGCAGGGTTTTATTTATAATGGCATGTAGAGGTCTGCACTTTTTTGCAATGTATAATCTTACAAATGAATTTTGGGAAGAGGGGGGAAACAAACCATTCAAAAGCTATGTGGTAAACGTAAAAGAATTGTGGTAGTAAAAGAACATTGTGTTTTTTTCTCCCTGTCTTTTCTTTAGATTTCTTCAAGTACATCCCATTCAGGTCCTTCCGATTTAACAAAACAGTGTGGAACATCAGCATTATTTCAGCTGGCAGAGGTAATATTAAAACACTGGTGACTAATTACCACAGGTGCAGTGGGGCGGAGAAGGTAATGATGTTGATTGCCAATGTCTGGAAGGCAGAACAGTGCTACAGTTACAATTACATTGTTGCTTACAGAAACATAAAGTATTGTGGCTTGGGTGCCACAACTCAAGATTTCCCCAGACTAGCTATCCATCATCTTGGAGATTTTTGGGAGCCTGTGCTGCAGCTGAGAAGTACCACCAGTTCCTGGTGGCAAAGGGACTTGCCAATCCCCATTGAAAATGTTTGAATTCCTTGTTTTAGGGCTTGGGGTTTTGAGTGTTTGGTTTGGCTGGGGGGCACAAGGAGTTGAGAGAGAAGGCTGGATTAGTCTCTTATTCAGATTAGGGCATTGCCATTACAAATTCTTGTTAAAAAGTCATTAGTTGCTTTCATTTATTTTTTGCTTTTCATGCCTACTGGTTTTTGAAGTGGGAAATAAACAGGTCAATAACTTTTGTAGAAACTCCGCTGTGATACTCTCAGCACATCCTTCTTCTGGGAACAGTTAAAACCAACGGCCTCTTATTGAAATGTTGTATTTCCTTTGTTTCTGAGTTTGGTATTTTGGTTTTTTTTTTAAAGCTTTCCCAATTTTAAAGACTGAATTGCAAGTTTATTTAGAACTCACAAAACAGAAGTTGCTTTTTTGCAATCACTTCCATTGCCCTCTGTTGTATTGGCTACTGCAGAAGAAGCAAAGGTATAAAGAAAAAAAAAATAATTGGCAAGGGGATATGTGTTGAATTGACAAAGTATTATTACTGTTCAATGAGTTGCATTTTAAAAATTGATCTTTAGCTTTTGAAAATCACAGCCTGTGTTTACACTGCAGTGCAGCAAAAAAGTCACAGAAGTACCTTGGTACCAAGAACTCACCCCAGCATGGTTGTGGGGTTCTCCTCTGCATAATTTAACCTGTTTCCTAATAGACACGGTGCTGCCCAAGCTCCAGTGTTTCTAGTGCTCAACCTAGGTTGACCTGAACAAGGTCAGGAATTTCTACCTTGTGCCACACGAATTTTGGAAACTTAGTACAAAGCACTCTATCATTGGTGTTATGCTCATACGTATATTGGTGTAAGTGATAATTTTTGTTTGCAAGGAAAAAATGCCTTGCTGATTTGAGTAATCTAAAATTGACCTGAAGAGAACCCAATGATCTGGAGGGTACATCCATACTGACCACATGGCCCATGGCCTGAGCTGCAGGATAGGGAAACTCCTGACGTCTGGTTCAAAACAAGCTTCCTCTGTCTGGTTTTACTCCAGGCAGCTGTTTAGTTGACATTTCTTTTAAAAACAAAACAGCACTGGGAATTCAGCTTGGGGGCTTTGAGAGGGAGAGTAAGACGAAAGCATGTCTTCCCAAGGGCAGCTGCTTGGTGCTGCCAAGGACTACCCTCTGTAGCAGTGTCATCATAGCTCACAGGTGATCCAAAACCAAGAGACTCTCCCAAGTCAGTGCTGCAGGAACATGTCAGTTTGAAGACAATTTTACAGCTTTTTTTTTTTTTTTTTTTTTAATATCGCTGTTCCTCACAGTATGAGGGTTTTGGTTTCCATTAATGTTATCTCCAGGAAGAGATAACCATGGCAACCACTGCTGCTTTCCAGTTCTTTGCAAAATAAGTCTGTGACATGAGAAGGAAGATTTGGAAGGCTTTTTTAGTACCTTCCAAATTATTTTGTAGAATCAAGTAAAAGAAAATAATCTCAATTACCGAGATTCAGTTAACTATTTTTCTTCCCCTCCTTCAGCACCATTTGGAAAATGGAGGAAAGAATTGTATGTAGGGACGTTTGGGAGTTGAAGGGGCTATGGACATGAGATTTCAAGTAATTTGTCGGTGGCAGTAGTGAGAGATACTGTTTTGTTCCATTGCATTTAGGGTATTCTGAAAATCAGTCTAGTGATGGGTTTCCAGGTTATAGAAGAGGCACTTAAAGGATCATGGAAACACCATGGACATCAGTTGGAGTCTTTTTCTATTAGAGCAATAGACCCCACTGGCCTTACTCTAGCACTTAGCCATCACCATGTCACATCAGTTCAGTAGGGCTTCAGCATGTTTTTCAGTACTGTCCTTTAGCATAGTTTGCTTTCCTGAACCAAGATGCCAGAGAGGTTCCCTGTGTAATGCTTCTGTTAATATAGGTAAGTAACGTTAACAGTTGATGTTTGTTTCATGGGACTATTTTTAAACTTGTTTTAGATGTGCCTTGCTTCAGAAGGAGTAAAAGTGAAAGAACCTGGGAAGACAAAAGTGGAAGCACGGGAAGATGTGGGAAGGGAAGTTCCAGAGGAAATGGAAGTAGACCTGGAGCAAACAACAATAAAAGACTCCTGTAAAGGAAAACTAGAACAATCAGAGTCAGAGAAAATGCAAAACCGGGATGAGACAAAAGCTGAGGAATCACAGACTGCAAAATGCAGAGATTTTACTAGTCTTGCAATGGAGAACAGTCCTTTTGAGAGAAATGATAACACAAAGGATCACATGTGCTGTTCTCCAGAGCTTTCAATGGCTGACATGAATATCCTCGGGCTAAAGCCAGAAAAGATAAAGAAGAAAAAGAAAAAAAATAAGCTGGACCGGCACACAAATGAAAAATCCACCCCCAAGAAACCTTGTAAAAAGAGACAGTCCTCCGAGTCGGACATTGAAAGTGTAATGTATACAATTGAAGCCGTTGCAAAGGGGGACTGGGGTGCCGAGAGACTCGCGGAAGCTCCCCGCAAAAAAAAACCGCCCTGTCTCAAATGTGAAGGGAAGCGTGTTGGATACAAAATCACCAAAGAAAAAAGTTAAATCAAAAGAGAAGAAAACATCAAAGGAGAAACCCATGGAGACCACCAAAGAATCAAAGCCTCCCGATTTCCTTAGTATTGCAGCCAGCAAGGAAGTACCGTGTGAGGCTTCTGATAACATTAAAGTGGAACCACTGACCCCAACAGAGGAGGTGGTACCCCAGAGCTTACCGGGACAGGTCAAAACTGAGGACAGTGACTGTGTTAAAAAGATAGAAACCTGTGGCTCCAGGAAATCGGAGAGATCTTGCAAAGGTGCTCTTTATAAAACTCTGGTGTCAGAGGGCATGCTCACATCTCTGCGCGCTAACGTGGACAGAGGTGGGTGGCTTTGAGTGTTTCATTTACAGCATGAACCACAAAAGCCTGCCTGGAGTTGGGAGGAAAAGCAAAAGTCTGTGTTTAAGCTGGAGTTTGAGCAGTGTGTGATGGAATGGTGTGTCTGGTCACCTGAGATGCTGGGGGCCGGTGGAGGGGAGGACTCGGTGGTCCAGGGCAGTTCTTCTGGAGTCTGTGTTCCTACTTACCTCACAAACTCTTGACCTCTCCCTTTTTGTGTTTCATGATCTGAGATTTATATTTCCAGCCAAAGGCTTTGTTGGTTAATTTGTCAACCTGCTGATAGATGAATGCAGGACTTGTGTTTTATGTAACCCTGAACAAGTAGCTTGTTTCTATATAAACAGCTCTTGTAGTTGTGAGCATAGTTCTCAGTCCTACAAGAGGCAAATGTATTCTGCTTTTGCTTTGGTTGTTAGTTTTGCTGTAGGTGGTGAGTGAGAACCCTTTTCCTTGTGGAAGGATGAATTTGAGGTAATTTCTGTAAGCTTTTAGTGAGATGTCTTGAAATACATTTTTCTGATTAGTAGATTTGTAAGTGTAATTAGAACAGTCAGAAAAGAAAAATATATTTGTAATTTAGGGAAGTTTATTACTGTAAACCTACTCATCTTTTTCTCCTCCTTTATACCTTGAGAGATCCTGACTTCAGAGGTGGTATAAAAACCCAGAAGGCGGTGAGGGGAGAGGAGAGGAAATAGTTGCCAATATCATCGTTGTCCGGTTTAAAATAAATAAATAAACAAATGTTTTGTAACACTTTCAAGAAGGTCAAGCATCATAAGTTGCAGTGTTGAATGGGTACACAAGTTCCTTCTGAGCCCACATTGTTTTGGCACGTTTTTCTAAAGATGAGAAACAATTTTTTGCGTTCATCCCAGGAAAAAGAAGCTCAGGAAAAGGCAACTCCTCAGATCATGAAGGATGCTGGAATGAAGAAAACTGGGCTTTTTCACAAAGTGGGACAAGCGGGAACAAAAAACTGAAAAAGCCTAAGCCAAAGGAAGAGTTTGTTTTCGGGTAAGTTGCGGCTTAACACTATTCAGTGCTTGGGTCCGGTCAGTCTGGTGACTTAAGAGTGAGTCCTCCTCCTTGCAGCTAAGTGAACTGCATCCGACACCCAAATAATCACAATTGGAGAGAATTCCTGAATGTTGCAAACCCCGCTGGGCTGAGTCATGCTCTAGATACCTGTTGTTTATATATCAAAGTAATTCCTTTGAGATCTTTCCTGGTTTACACTAGTGTAAACAGATTTGGATGACATTATTTCCTCACTTCTAAAAAAACGGTGCAATATTTACCTGCTCAAGGGGTGTCAGAGAGGGTTACTTACATTTCCAGAGCACGTTGGAAGCAATATTTAAATTTCTGTGTAGATGTTCAGTCATCATAAACAGAATTAGAATAGAAAGAAAGATCTCTTTGCCCACTTGGAGAGATTGCTTACAGAGGAAGAGTAAACAATGTTCTAATATTGGCAAATAATTATAATAAATATATCATTTTTCCATTGTAGAGACAAGATATTTAAACTGTTCATGTACACCATGAAGAAATTAAATATATCAGAACAACAATGAATGATTACAAATGCATTAAAATTTAGCAAGACTACACAGAATTACTTGTCTAGTATATGAATAACAATTTTTTTCAGACTATTACAAATGTATTTAACGGCAGGCATAGTAGTTAAATCTGCTTAGCCATTCATACTTAATTGCAAGGTCTTGAAGACTTCCAATTATCTGAATTCAGAGGGTGAAAATGAATTAAAAAGTAGTAGATTTTCCACACTTCATGCTTAAAATTGTAATGTTTCTTTTGTACAGGCTTGCAGCAGCCTTTTTTATAACTTCGTTTATGTGAAATTTAGCTTCACTTTACAGTGAAGATACTGAGTTAAAATCCAAAATCTCCAGGTCTTGTTTGCTTGGAATAATCAAGAAAAAATAATGGAATACTTTTTAGTATTTATTTTTAGTGCATTGTATGTAAGTTTTGTAACGTTCAAAAAAATTTAAATTGAAGGATTGAAAACTTTTCACACCTAATGGTGTGAAAGCTGAATGCATGTCCTAGCCAAACTAAAAAAAAAGTAGTTACAAATTATTTATTTGAAGTAGCTAGGAAAACTGTGTAAATAATTAATTTGACACACCATTCTACCATCATTAGCTGGCTGTCTGGGGAGGATACACATTTGCCAGTCTTGCTTCTCGATTCAGTTGTGTCATTAATATTATTTAGTGAAATCGGTAATTTGTGGAGCGTCGGTGCTGGAGAAGGTATCTGTTACCCCCTGTTTGTTGCACTAACTGATCTTCTGGCTGGCTACCTGAAGAGCTGCTCTTACCTCAACCTGCTCCTCTTAACTCTTTCTGCTCCCTTCAGCATCACCTTTCAGCTTCATTTTGGGTGTGTTGGGAGCGAGGGTCCTCACCCTTTTGGAATTATGCCTTTCTCCCTGTGCCACCGCTCCTTTGCCGCGCAGTGCGCTCGCTGCCTGTGTGTATCTCCTGGCAGGGCTATGGCATGAAGACCTCAGCTCAGCTCCGTGTGTCTAACCGGGCTTGTGAGATGCTCTGAAAAGTCATGACGATGTGAATGATCTTTGTTTTTTTTTTAAAATAATTAATCGCTGACATAGTGATAGCAGCCCTCTCCACTGCCTTCATGCCCCACAAGCTACAAATTACTAGTCAAGATGGCAGCTCATCTCCTTTCAAAGCTGGGCCTTCCTGATTAGAGCTGCAGCCCCTCGTATGCCCATGGGGCAGGTGGCAACAGGCAGTGGGATCGGAGCTGGGGCAGAGCTTGGAGTTGCATGACAGCTGTCAGAGCAGAAAATCGGCTTGTTTTGTGGTTGTCAGGGAACATCTGCGTGGAAGAGAAAGGTAGCAGTACCGAGCACCATTGATGTCAGATAGCTTTGTGATTTCAAAACAAAATATGCACGCACACACACAGAAAAACAAACAAACAAACAAACAAGCCCAAAACAAACAAACAAACCAACACCATTATGCATGCAGCCTGCCAAGAGTCAGGGCTGTATTTGAGATGGAAAGTTGCTTACTGAAAGAAGTAATGATTCTAGAGATAAAATGAAGTATCATTCTGTGTACCAAAGCTTTCAGAATGCAATTTGTTTGAAGTGCTCCTTCAGAGACCAGAGAGAAATGCCATGTTTCTTGTGATACTTCCAGTGAGCAGTGTGTAAGGGCCATCCCTCCAACAGTCGTGGCAACTTTCATGAGTTCAGGTTTTCCATAGCAAACCGAATTAAAGACAAGTAGAAAATGTCATTGTTCCCCTGTCATTGGCAGTGCTATTTATAATCTGCCTAGCTGTGCGCGCAGCCTTTTATTAAAACACAATTCATTACTGTGCTCCTTCCTGGCTGCAAAAATTTGCTGCAACAGAGTGTTTATGCAAGCCAGCGTAGTCATTACAGCCAGAAATGCAGTGCCATGCTATCCTGTTTGAGTGGTTTGTTTTCATCTGGCTATTAGGAACAACTATACCATGTCTGTGGGTTTCTTGAGCTGTAGGTGATCTAGTTACAGTCATACAGGTTGCGCTGCAGTACGAGGGATGTTGGGTTTCATGAAAGCATGAGCTAGTTGCATTTTTTATCTCGCAACAAATAAAATACGAGGTGAGAAAATATAATCCCCCAGAACAAAGCTAATTCCCACCCAAAGCAACAGGTTTTAGAATATCCCCAGAAGACTGAATAGTTTTGATGTTTTTCTTCTGGTTTGAATTGTTGTTTTCATTCTGGTATATGGACTTTCATGTGAAGTTATTTTACTGGTTTATTTATTGGTTTTATTGTCTTTTTTTCATTCCCCTCACAGAAGAGACAAATATCCTGTACAAATTGTGCAGCAAACAGAGCTAAATGTCACCAGTATAACATTGATTTATTTATTTTTTTCTAATTTTAATATATGCAACTAATGTAATCAATTTGTACTGAGTTACAAATGTAGAAGCTGGAGTGTACACTCTCATCCCAAAGTTGGATTAATGTATACTAGTTTGATGTTTACTTTCTCTTTCCCCCTCTCTATATAGTGTATACACACACTTGCTGCTAAGCAATGTATGTTTTCTTCTCCAGAAGCAGTTATATTTAATTTGGTTGGTTTTGTTTCCCCTTTAGCTTAGCAAAGTTGGAAGAAGAATTTGAAAAGAAATTCAACAGCCTCCCTCAATACAGTCCCATTACCTTTGACAGGAAAAATTCAGCCGTTCCAAGGAAAAAGAGAAAGGTTGGAAGTGGCTCATCTGAACAACCAAAATCCAACAAAGGTAAATTACCATATGCAATGCATTCTTAAGCAACAACATTACTACACCAAGCTCAGGAATTTATACATTCATACTTTATATCTGAAAAGTGTGAAATCAAAGAAAACATTTTTTTAGCACTGAACTTAGTTGGTTCTCACCTGAGTTAGTTTTCAGCCTGTACTCTTGACTCTTGCTTTTCATGCTAAGTAGAACTGGTTAGTGTTTGTACGTGAAATATAGCCCTCATAGCAAGCAAATTTATCAAAACCATGAATATTTGTGAGGTAAGTGAACTTGACAAGTTTTCCCAGGAGAAAATGGGGAAGAAATGACAGGTGATAAAAGGTTACATTTTGACATTTTTCAAAATGTAGTTTTGTGTCAGTTCGCATTTCACTGTAATTTTAGGCTCTATAAATTAAAACATAAGATACCAGAGATGTCTGAATTAAACATCGGGATTTTTTTCATTGAGGTTTTAACTCTCTATCATAAGTTTGGAGCAAAAATGTCCTAACATGATAAAAAAGGGTTAGAGGACAAGAAAACCAATTCCATACCCAGGTCTGTTGCTGAGACTCTTGGAGGGAGAAACTCATGACACATTTGGCTGTTTTATATATAGACAACCTATGACACAGAGATGTAGTAGAGAAGTAGGAATGTGACAGGGAAAACCACTTTTAGATATTGGCAGAAATACTGATGCATATATGCAGTACAGAAGCATCACAAAAGGAAGGACTGACATACCAGTAATTCTACAAGACAAAACAACGCACAAAATAATCCTCATTATGAACAGCTCACAATGCGAAGCTCATTTCCTTTCCTGCTACTATGGTAGTTCCACTGCCTGACAGGTTTTCAGATCTAATACAGCTATTTTAGCCAGGTGACCCTGGATTAGATCTATGCCTTTTGAATGCTTCAGAAATAATCACATTACAGTATGCAGGACTGAGCAGCTGTTCTTTTCTAGTGCATGCCAATTTTGGTATTGATTTTTGTATTTATATAATTAGATGTGGAACAGTCACTTCTGCAAAATTAGACTTGTGCTACTACCAAGTGAGTTCTGATTTCAGATGCCTTCCATTTTTTTTATGGTATGTATGTGACAGGATTTCTTCAATGAGCATGAATGAATTGCTTTACAGTATGATAATACAGTGGTTAATTAAGCAACATCTGTTGGGAACAAGATCTCCTCATCTACCATGATCTGGCAGTTGAAGTTGTAATAGCAGCTCCTTGGATTTCTCAATACCATATTTACCTGTTCTAGGGTCTGTACATCTGAAAATTTTGCAGGCCCTACATTGTTTGGGAATGGCACACTAGTGCTGCCTCAAGTCAGGTAGCCCAGAACTGCTTTCTGCTTTTGGCTAGGTTCATACACGAGAACTTAATTTTTATCCTTGTTTTCATCACTTAAAAAGCTTTGGAATATATTCATCCAGCCGTGCCTCAAGGGAAGGTCAGAAACATAAACTGCAGGCGGGTTACAAGCCCTATATAAGTAGTTTTGGCACAGCACTGCAGAGGAAGCCACGGAGCATTTGCCTCTAGCTGATAGTAAGGGCTCTTTAAACTCAGCCAGCTGACTTTGCACTGAAGCAGATGGTAAACAGTCACATGAACTTTTCCACCAACTGAGCTGTGGGGTTGCAACAAGCAGCCCCAGGGCAGGAATATCTGATAGTTACACTGCTGCTTCTGTAGTGAACATCTAACCGCAGCCCTGAACTAAATCCAGACGGAGCTAGTGATATCTGCTCCTAATTTCAGCAAATACTGAATTCACTCAAGTTAGCTGAGCGAGCTGTCAGCTTGTGTCAGTCATTCCGGCTCCCTGGAGGGTGAAGTTCAGCTCTCGAGGTAGCTGGAAAACTTTCCAGTAAGCCATTTTTCTTTTGGAAAAGAAAGATTGCTAAAAAGTAAATGCTCCATGGCAATGGGTCTATTTTAATTTGTTTTATTCTGTTAAGATGCTTAAAATTAAGATGAGAGTTGTGGATTTGAAATGACCTGAACCACATTGCATACAAGCAAGCTTACTGGCTTAGTAGGGAATCTGTTCCAGCTGAGCCAAACATTCATTAAGCTGAATCCTCAATTTAATTTGTGGTGTACTGACAAGCCATTCAGCCTCATCATGCTGTTGGCTTGCCTGTGAACTGTGAAGAGTCCAAAAATGGTTAGAAAATACAGACCTCCAAAGGTGTTAAGCATACAGGTCTGCACACTAGGCTCCCACAAGTATTGCAGGAAATTAAAATGGCATATTGTGCAAAATGGTAAGAGCTTGGTTTGAAATGGTTCTGGGTTTTTTGAATTATCATGGGTTTTTACACTATCAGAATTAACACCTTATTATTGCAACGTGATGAGCATGAACCATGAAGGGCCAATATAGTTTTATGGGTGTGATTGTGTTGGGATGTAGGGGACCTTGACTTTGCTCAGCTGTGCTCTGCATTACGGTGTTGTGTGGAGTCATTTCTCCTGCTTTGCTCTTCCTTGGGGTTGCCTCTGTCGGTAAGGTAATTAGAAGAGATACCCAGCACAAATAGTGCCTACTAGTGGTTGGGGCCTCTGGATGTTTCCAAACAACAGAAAATAATCACTAGGGGTAGGTTTAGTAAACACCCTTTAAAATCATTCTCTGCTTTTTCTGAATGTGCATGTGCAGGTTCATAAACTCGGGCATTCTCAGTTCTCAGAGAAGTACTTAATTTTTGTAGTCTGCAGATAAGTGCCTCATAAATTATATTTAAAATATGGAAAATAAGTTGGAGTGCTGCACACTAAAACTTCCCCAGGACATTAGGTGAATAAAAACGGAGAAACGGTTTTGTTTGTTGGTTTTGGGGTAGTGTGCTGTCGTGTTTCCCCCCCCTCTTCTCCCTCATAACTAGGGCTGTATGCCTTAATTCGCTTTATTTTGGAGTAAATGGTGCCAGACATTTTCTGTCAAATGTCATTAACCTATACGCGCAGGAGGCCTGATCTGCTACCTAACCTAAACAGCCAGTGTCGTCAGGATGTTTTCCTACTCCTAAGCAGCATTTGAGTGGGTCAGTGCCCACTGACTCCTTCCAATGTGCTTGTCATGTCCAGTCCTCACTTCAGTCAGTTCTTTTTGTATAAAAACATGTGAAAAACCCAATAATATGAAAGCTATTTCAAATCTACGTGTATAAGGGAAAATACGAACTTTGTTAAATGAGAGCAATTTTTTCCCCAGAGCTTTGCAAATTGTCCACATTCTGCTCCCACTGAAATTAATGGGGGTCTTTCTTCAGTCGGAACAGGATTGAACAAGCCATAATGGTTTGGCAAATTCTACCTCAAGCATTTTGAAATGGGAGTGTGCATATACAATAATAATGTCACAAAATGGCTGAAAAATACAGCTATACTGAATCTGTGCAGATGGCCTGCTCCAGCATTTGCTGGAGCTGTGACTGATTTTTTTTTTTTCTTTCCAATGGCATATGTGCCAAAACTTCCCACCACACAGAAGTCAGCAGTCTGCAGTGAGTCACTAATCTGCTTGTATGCAAAAATGAGCAACAGGCATAGTCATTATTTCTGCCTTGTGCTGTGAAGAAATGCTCACTTATACACTGAGCACTTCCCTAAAGCTTTCATTTTGAGAAGGCAAGGAGAGGAAAGCATAGTTTGCTTTTATTTGGGAAAGGGATTGTCTGCAGTTTTTGTTGTCTGTGGCTTCTAGGACTAGAAATAAAGCTCCAGCTTAAAACAGATGCTTCTTTGTGTCATTCCTCTCAGTCTTAGCTTGTTTTGTTTTTTTTTTTTTTTCCCTTTGGCTTGGTTCAGAGTATTCAGATGCCTTGAGATCGCATGCCATAATGTTCAAAGACCATGACCTGAAAATACAGCATCTTCCTCCTGAAAGAAGCAGAAATGCACAGACAAATCTGTTTGTTCTGGATTTCTTAAAGTCATGTTGGAGTGATCTCTGTTTGATCAGGCCCTTTAAAAATAGAGAACTTTGCGAAAGCAGAGGGGGCATATGCCCAGAAATGTGGAGGAAATGCAATTGTGGTCCATTATGTATAGTGGGTTCATTTTCTTGCCTGCTGCTTCCCCGAGCAGCTGCCACTGGCCATAGCAAGTATTCCCAGCAGGAAATCCCTATCATGCTCAGTAAGCACAGTGGACAAGCCAGGGATTATCAGGTGGTTAAATCCTGTGGCAACTGCTGAAGTGCAAGGGAAAGGAAGAGCCGTGTAGAATGTTTCCAGTAGAGACCGATGAGCAGGAGAAAAGGACTTACTTTACACTTGCCATGGCTGTATAACAGTAGCAAGTAAGCTAGCATTAAAAGTGTTTTTCAGCTTCATATAGGAATTCACATCCACGGCCCACTGCTTAACAGCAAGCCTTTTAGGTTAGTTATTTTTTTTCAGTCATGGATTTTCTCTGGATTGAATGTTGACAAGTGACATTTGTTGGAAGGCTTGGAGTACTTGCCTGCTGTCCCCATGAAGCAGGTGTAGCCCAGGCAGCCGTCCTGTAAACTCCTGCCTGTGCCTGAGCTGTGCCCTTGGGGCAGCTGCTGGGGAGAGCCTGAAGAGGGATATTAACTCTTATCTCGGCCAAAACCAGCCCATGATCTCAGGAGTGCCCCTTGTTCAGCCTCCCCTACACACAGATGTCCTCTCTGGTCCAGATCATATTTTGCCTTCTCCATATCGGTTTAGTTCAGTTAATTTCTATTAAAAGAACAGCTCTAGTTTTCATACCTGAATATGCCATGCAAAGATCCTGTATGTGGCAGTCACTGGCCTAGGCCTTAATCTGGAGGCAGGATGGGATGTAGTCGTTTCTGAAGAACCACCAGATATATAATCTATTCAGGAATTACTAGACAATTTGTATGTGCAAGTGTGACAGTGATTGTCATTTCGCAGAGGACAGTGAACATATCCATTAGTTCACTCTCTGTAGTTCAGGCAGGGAGTGTGGATGAAGTTTTTAATGGAGTCACAAGTTATATTCTCAGGTCCAAGTATGACATGTTGACCTATTTAGCTATTAGCCCATCTTCTCTTCCACTTCATTCATGGCCAAAGGGTATTCAAGTGTCAGTGGGTACTGTCTCACAGGAATAACGATTAAAAATGAAGGAAATTGGAAGTTTCCGTATAAAAAGGCAGCTTCTATTTTGACCTGCAAACCACCTGCAAATATCACTAATTTGCTATTTTTTTTTTTAAATGTAAAATTATCATAAGAATCATCTAGGTACATATTTCTGCCTCTCTGTCTTCTTGTGGAACTGTTGTGGGAAGTCTTGTCTCTATTGATGTGGATGACGTGTTTGACCTAGTCTTCAGAAAAAGCCAGTTTTTTCATTTCCCTCAACCTGCCTGAGTGTTTTCATTTTGTTTTTCATTTTTATTGCACTGACACTAGACTGCTTATCCAACTCTGATACTCAGGAAGATATTGTAAAACTTAAAGGATGACACTTGAATCAGTTTGAGTGAATATGGTGTCTTCTATTGAACTTCTATGCCTGTTTCTGGCTGGATTTTAGCTTTCTCTCAGTAATTTTAAATATTATTCAAACAGCCTAGTGTCTATGAATAGATTTCCCCTCATAAGACTAGATTCTTCTTCCATGTGCTACACATTTTCCTCCTTTCCTTGCATGTAGACAGTCAGTGATGGCAAATTGTATATACGTGGTGTAGACTGACCTTGATCACGTGTTATTACATGGTTGCAGTTGTGTTCAGTAGCCAGTGTGCGTGTCTGGTTGATTTTAAGAATGAGGAGGAGTGCAGGAGACTGATGTTTGTGATGGGTAGAATACTGTTCCAAATCAGCTGCAGATGGGATGACATCCTCTCATTAGGCAACAAGCCGTCTTGTCACCGGCAGTGCATCTCATTTCTGTTTGGGCTTGTCTGTTCTGAGCTAGCCTGAAGACTTGCTTGCCTGCTGTATCTTTGGAAATAAGGTTTTAAAGTGCAGTTTCTGAAAAGTAACTCCATAAAAATGGCTTTGCAGTGTAGAGATTATGCATCTGTTATCTATTTGGTCTGTTATGTCTATGTTTCTGTTGTCTCATTAATGGAGTAAACAGTGATACAAAGGATATCTTCTTGATGACCTCTGCTAGCGGCATGCTTTGTGGTCTGATGTCACATAAGGTGTCTTCTAACTACTACTAGTAAAGACTGCTATCAAAGTAGGAATGATACCATGAGCTGGGCATAACCTCACCTTCCTCTCCTGGGAGCTCTTACTTCCACACTTAGTATAAACTCATTTCTGGTCACAAAAAGGCAAAGGTATTGCATCCTGTGGTGGGTTGGCCCTGGCTGGTAGGTAAGTCCCTGCCCTGTCACTCGCTCACTCTACGCCAGTGGACTGGGGGAGAGAATTGGAAGGGCAAAAGCAAGAAAAAAAACCTCATTGGTCAAGATAAAGACAGTTTCATAAGGCAGGGGACATAACCAAATGATGCAAAAGCCAGCACTGACCACCAACAAACTGATGCTCAGCCACTCCTTGAGCAATTTGCAAAAAACTCTTCCCTCAGTTTTACTGCTGCGCATGACATTATGTGGTATGAAATGCCTCTTGGTCAGTGTGGGTCAGCTGTCCCAACTATGTCCCCTCCAACCTCTTGTGCTCCCTCAGCCACACCGCTGCGGTGGCAGAGTGAGAAAGAGAGATTCTGATGCTCTGTAAACACTGTTCAGCGGTAACTAAAACACTGGTGTTGGTTAGCACTGTTTTGGTCACCAGTCTAAAACATGGCACCATCCAGGCTGCTATGAGGAAAGTTTATTCCATTCCAGCCAAACCTAGTACACATGCAAAAAAGAGCACATCTTTAAACAAGCAAACAAACCCCTTGTTTTATTGTATGGCTGAGCTTTCCTAAGGTCATCATTCTCTGAAATGCTTTGTATGCGCTTAAGCATCGGGAGCTGATGCGTTGAAGTACATACAGCCTGTTGAGAACCTCCAGAGTCCATTCTGGCAGAAGCTCAGGTTTTGTGCTTCCCCATGAAATGGCATCCTGTGTTAGTGGAAGGGGAGTTTCTGTAGTACATATTATGACTGTTATACTCTTTTTAAAACTGCTTATTAAAAGTATGTATTATTAATGTTGTCTGTAGGTTCATTCCAGTCTCAGAAAAAGAACTTATTCCACAAAATTGTCAGCAAATGTAAACACAGAAAGGAGAAGCTTAATGTTCCGGACACAGGTACTGGTGCATTACTTAGTTAAGGTTTTGGGCCGCCTTCTCTCTCAATTCAGTCTCGGGGAAATGCTTCTAGACAGAGGCTACTCAGCTCTCTAGTCTTTGATTGCTTTGGTCCCCTATTTCCCTGTCTGCTTTGATTCCGTTAGCTCCTGGCTCCAGTTAATCATATTACCTTATTCCAGTATGATCCTGTTTTGGTTTTAATTGGCATCTCTCTTAATTACAGTTTCCCTGCTCCAGACACCATGCAGCAGAGCTGACAAAGCAAGGGCAGTTTTGCAGTTGGCCCTGAACTGTCTTCCACATCTAATAGCTCTTTAGTCCTCTGGTTGCTCTTATGTCTATCCCTTCTATATGGGAGACCGTATTATTTATCCCTTTGCCAGAGTATTTATCCATGTCCCTGTCTCCTCTCCCTGTGATTTCCCGTTGTCCAGAACTTTGCAGACTGCAGCTGGTCAGGATGTAAGAGCACCACATCTCAGATTGTAAGATCTGCACCAGATCTCAGAAATACTAACCTAAACAAATCCTGGCTCTCTAGAAATCCTAACCAGCTTTCTGTTTGCCTCAGATTGAAGATATATTCAACAGTTTTTTAAGCTATGTCCTGGGCTTGCTCTGCTCACTGTCCTGCTGGTAGCTCTCCAGTGTGTTTTTCTTGTTACACTGTTGTGGTTCTGCATACCTACATGCTTACTACTCTCAGGGGCATTTTCAAGTGTACAGTATGCACAGGATTATAGCTTAGCCTGCTTCCCTGGCCCCTTTTTTTTTTTCATCATGTTGCCCACACTATCCAAATCATGCCCAAGCTGTTCCTTAGCCATTCCACAGCAGAATTCTCTCCCACACCTTCCCCAGGGTGTAGAAGAGCCTCTCTGGTTCTGCTTATTTAGGTAGCTCCATGTATTTCTTAAATTTTTTTCCCCCATCCATATCTGCCTCTAAGATAATAAAATTACTATCCCCATCTCCAGTTCCCCCAGGTACCTTTATGCTTGGTATCTTTCCTTAAGGCTCGGCTGTGTAATTTCCTCTCCTTTCCTGATCCTGTGTTTTCTGTGCTCTGTGGTTCACATGCACTATTTTCCCACATAGGCTCTGCCAGTTTCACTGCGTTCAGTGGTGCAAATATTTTGAAATTACTTGCTCTGTTTGATTGTATTTGTACAACAAACATGTGGGAGTCGCTTATGAGAAGTAACTATCTTGCTTCCATGCCGATGTGAAAAAGACATCATACATTAACATAGCTTTTATTGGGTGCCATTCAGATTTTTGTTCCTCAATTATTAATAGACCATGTAGACAAATGAGTAAGAAAAATGGGTGTTTAAATTCTGCAGGAAAAGAAACTGAAAGCGTTTAATACATGGTAGAGTAAAAAAATATAAATATCTTAAAATCTGTATATATAAAATGTGGCTAAACAAAATGTCAAAACCTCCATTTGATTAAAAGAAACCAGCCTGTTTTGATATAAAGTGAAGTGTGCACTATGTTCAAAGATTCAAGCCTGGCAAGCGTTGAGTACCCTGGCCTCGTTCCAGCACAACACAGAGGCATGTCCTTGGAAGTTAAGCATGTGAATAATGTCATCATGTCTAAACATTAAAGATGTGTCTGTGCATTTGCTGGAGTAGGGCCAGTTTGCTCAGTTCTTCCCAAGACTGAAGCAAAGACACGAGGAACTTGACGGTCTTACACAGCCCATGTAGAAATCATCAAAGGAAAGGCAGTGGATATATCTGTTGGTGGGGAACTGCATTTGCTCTGAGTTTCAAAGGGTTTTTTCCCCTTGGGGGTCTTGCCTACTCTGAAGTGTCATGACACTGAAAGGAAAGCATTGATCAGCAAAGTTCAGTGTGGGTATGGCCTTGGCAGGCGGCGTACAGCCTCGCCATCATGTGCTGCCTACGTAGTAACTTCATCCTTTCGTGAGTTCCTGGGCAGTGTGGCCCTAAACTCCTTGTCTCCGCTGTCCCGTATTCTGCAGCATTCAAGCCAGGAATACCAACATCTTCATTTCAATTCAAATATACGAGGATTTAGTGACTCAAACACTAAATGAAAATTCAACTCCTTTTTGTGGTTAGTCTGTACTTGTGGTGAGTCACAAGTCTATAATGGGTGGTTTTGGTTTTTACGGAGTTAGTTTTGCTGGAGGAAGGAGCTTGAATATTCTTTTAACTGGAGAGGAGACACTTGCTGTCAGCAGAGGTCATGCTGGATTTATGTTTTTTCGTCTTGAAAAGTGTATGTGCCTGTGTGCATCTGTCTTTTGAACTAAGTAAGTACAGTAAAGGCGAATTTTGATAGGATTGGATAATGTGGTCTGGATCTGTCTCTGGTTTGAGTTTCTGAGTGAATTTTGACTCCATGTGACCACATCATACACAGCATCACCAGTGCAGATCACCAGGTTATGAGTTTGCAGGTGTATATTACAGAGATAGATACAGACCAGTAAAATACCAGTGGACATGCTGCAACCTCTGCTCCTTCTAACAGAGAGCACATAGTAATGCAGCAGAATATGTTAAAAGAGATAGGTCATTTCCTTAGGAAGTCTGACAGAAGCACAGCTGGACCCATCCCTGTTTGGAGGGGTTGAGTACCACTCAGCTTAGAGATTTATATTCTGCCACACTGTCAAGGCTTTCTGATAGGAAGCAGTACTTCAGATAACAAGGGGTAAGTCACAACTGTTGACTCCCTGCAGATACATCTAGTGAGCTGTGCTTGAGGGCTCCTTCATGGTTTGTGTAACAACCAGACATAATGCTGGCCTTTGCACAAGAAGAGGAGAAGAGGAGATGAATATATATATATACCAGTCTCAACATTAGTTGATGTGTGAAAGAGCCCCATCTCCTGTGGCTGGTAGAGCTAACTGCCTGCTACTCATCCTCCATCAGCTCTCCCACACGCACATCCATCTGTACAGCCGTAGCACATATGTTTGAGGAAGAACAGAAAGTGCAGAAAATTAGTAGAATTACCTTTTTTTTTTTTTTTTTTTCCCATCCTGAGAAAGCCCTGTTGTGTGGGGCATGCAGCCCAGAGGGAGCCAGTATCTCTGTGCCTTTGGCATCCCTCCAGGCTGGGAGAGGGCTGGGTTAGCACTGGCTGGTGCAGGTGCTGCAGAGCTTCCCCCCCAGGCAGCTGTTCCATACACCTGGCTTCGCCATCTGCTGCTTTGTCAGCTGGTGTCTCTCTGCTTGTTAGTCCCCAGCCCTCGCTGCCTGACCCCACAAGCGGTGTTGCAGCAGCATCCCCGTGTCAGAGAAGACCTGGAATTTCCACCAGGGTACAGATCAGAGTGTGCTCGGCATCACTTTCTTGGTGGAGTGGTTCCCCAGGCACTGGTGGTTTGAAGTTTTGCTCTGCCTCGCTAGGCTACCCCTTTTTAACTTCATAAAGATCATTAAATCATTACAACCCACCTTTTCTTCTTGATACCAGCATGCTTAGGCCCACAGAGAGTTCATTCTCCACTAAACATGGTTAAACTTCTGCAGCTCTCTCTCATAAGATAGACATCACTGAAGAAATTATTTCAGATCTGTCTGTGTCTTGCTGGGGTTCAGTCTGAAAAGCTTGTCTTCTTCTGTGGTGTGCTGAGTCAGTCCAGTTGACTTCAATTTTCTTGTTCACAAAGATGGGTGGAAGTAAGACTTACATGTACTCTGCATGCCTGCAGAATAAGGTAAACTGTCCATGCTAACTTTTAACAAATCTGGCTCAGGAAACCATCTGGCATAGAACTCTAGATGTTTTTTTCTCAAAGTCATTTTTGTCACAGTGGTGTAAGCATGCCAAAAGGCCCACATCTTCATATCATGTGCTCAACTCTGCTTACAAAAATAGCCTTGTAGTTCTGCATGTGTTACTGTCATGCGGAAAGCTAACCACATAAATACCTGTTTGCAGGACTGCACAGTAGCTGCAGATCCTCATTTCATTTCTAGACTGCATTCTTCTGGAAACTGGCTGAGCTCTACATGGGACAGCTCTTGCGAACACAGGACTCTGTGGAAACAGGAGGGATGTGAAGTGGATTAAAGAAATTATAAAAGAAAAATACATGAAATTAAACTTGATTAGCCCTGTCCTTTCTGCACAACAAAACCAAGTCCTGGTGTGGAGCATCTGTATGGATATACCTTTGTCAGCTGAAGAAATGGGGTGCTGTTCCTCTTGAAGTCGGTGCAGGAGGGACCCCTGTTAGCACCTAGCTTAGATACATGGCCGTTGGAGCATGGACTCCTCTGGCGTTGAGTGCAAAGGGCCTTGTGAGTGAAGCCTTTGTGTGATTTCCAAGTTAGGTTTTATGTCTGCTTGAATAATAATCTGTAAAGAAGTCAGTTAAACGTTTTCTTATCCCAACATCCACTAAGACAGATAGAGAAAAAAAAGAACGCTCTTCCCTTCAACACCCACCTTCCACACAAAAAAATAATCCATTCTTCACCTTTAATCCTTCCTTCTTCAGAACTGTATGGCCGCAATGGTATGATGAAGTGACAAAGAGCTTTAGAGCTAGAGGAGAAAAAAAAATTGAGGTCTCTCAAGTCTCATTTCAAGGATTGAAAAACCTTAAAACATGGACAGGGAATATACTTCCTTCGTCCTGGGTTTGTCAGCCACCTCCTGCTATTCCTTAGTCAAACATGACAACATTGTGTGCTCCTTCTTAACATCTTTAATAAATATCTGTCAAGGTTTTTTCTTATTATTAATTTCTTGAGATTGAAAGAAAAGAAATGTAAAACAGAACTGTCTACTGTATTGACCAATCAAATTAATTTCTAGTGACCTGACATGGCTTGTAATATACAACACATCTAATTAAAAACATACTAAATCAGGTTTCTTTGTATGTTGTTTATTGTTCGAAATTATGTCTTAATACTTTTATTAAATGTGAAAAAAAAGTGAGTTGTATTACTAAGAGTAAAGCCATTATAAACTCAGTCAAATTAGAATTAAACAGCACTGTCAAAGTACTATCTCATTAGAGCAAATCCCCAAATCAGAATTAACAAATAGTGTTGGACTACAACCAAACCATTACATTAATACATAATCAACGCTTATGAATTCCCAAATAAGAAATCTAGAGAGAAAGCTGCCCATTTAATTATACATTCCAATTAAGATTCTAGTCTCATCACAGTAAGCTTATCTGAACATCTCACTACTAGCTAAATTGAGTTACTTGAAAGTCACATTTGCAGTCATTGGCACTTCTACTTAATTGGACTGTTATGGGGCAGATCTGTTCTCGTGGTTTCTCTTGCGCTCTTTACAAAAATGTAAGTTTTACAGCATAGATCTGCTCTGGAAAGGTTAGCAGCAATAGCTAAACACTAAGAAAACCTAACTGAAGATATGTGCTTTTTTTTCAAAATAAAGAGCATGCACAAGTTCAAAAATGTTTTACAAGAGAAGATATGAAGGTAAATTAAGAACATAAATGAATTAAGGTTTGGGACATTTCCAAATGTTTTTATACATATGTACTAGATCTGATTGTATTCTTATGCCATGAAACATAAAAAGGTCCCTTCCCACTTGAAACAAAAGAGCAAAAGGCAACAGCTAACAAGATGAAATGTTACAACTATTCTCTTCACCCAGTCCAACATCCTCGCACAATTAACAGTTAAAGAAGTTAGCAAAAGACAGGGGTCATATTAGCCATCTTTGAATAGGAAACTTATTAAATCTACAAAACAAACAACAAATAAACAGTAAACGCACACTAAAATGAAAGAGGGCAAAGTTCATGCAGACCGGTTGGCTGTTGTGCATGGTTTGTGGGCTTGGGTGCTCCTGCATGACACAACCGGTCTTGGTGGAGGAGGCTTGTCTTGTTCGGTGCTTAGCCCTTCTGAAAGAGAAGTTGTTTGCGCTCCAGCTTGGGTTTTGTGCATGTAATTTTTGCTGGTCCTACCACCCAGAAAGTAGCAAATGGGTCTTAAACATATCTTTAAAATGAGCAGAAAGATTGAAAGAATTCGGGGGGAAGAGAAAGCTAACTGTAGACACAGTAACAGCTGTGAAGTAGATGAAGGACTGTTGCAAAGAGAGGGGTATAACCTTGACGGGTAGTAAAGAAAATTAGTTGAAAATGCAGCAGGGGAGATGAAGTGCAGGCACTAGGACAAAATACATTATCATTCAAGGTGGCAGTGCACTGGGAAAAAGTACCCCAAGGACTTGGTGCAAATGCCATGAGTGGTCCCTATTTCAAAACAGGTTAGTCAGGCATCTCTAAGAAATGATGTGGGCATTCCCTTTGCTACTGGTAGTCTCTTACCCTAGCTTACAGTGACTGCAGATGGGGTAGGCCTCATAGTACTTTTATCACAGGAGGAAAAAAGATGTCACACATTGAATTTATGGACTAGTGACACCCCATAGTATCAGCAGTATGGCTTGTTAAATCAACAGAAATTACAAATGATTGATGATTACTCACTGATCTCAGACTTTGGAAGTTTAAATACATTTTGCGATTGCTGTCTGACCTATTTTTTCATTAACAACATTAAGGTGACTGTTTAGTCAGGTAAAAATTTGTGATTGCGTTCCAGTTCGGGGCAGAAGGCTACTTCGAAACACCAACACTGGTACTGTTGAGAAAGAGAGTGGGAAAGGAACAGTTTGAATCTGGCTTTATGTAGGCAGTATTTCCGTCATTGTATTTTATCACGGGCTTACTTTCTTTTTTAGCATTCTTGTCTTCAGCTGTGATCCACTTCTTCTTTCGTATCTGCTGCCTTTTGGGTGTTTTTTCAGGTTTGTTGTTTAGTAAAAGGCAGTATTTCCCTCTGCTTAGAGGAGATGACGTAGGGTGACTATAGAGGGAAGACTGGGGGTTAGTCAGGAATTCCTGAATTGTGCTTGTGAGTCCATCTGTGAGCTAAGTTAAGCTTACGTGAGGACTGTTATTGTTCCTTAAATACATTTTGTCTCTTAGCTACTGGCTGGCATCTTCTGTTGCAGAATGTTTTATACAAACTGTTCAATACCCTGCTCCCACTGAAGTGCTACTGCCCGTCTCACAGGTTTCTTTGCCAGTATTAGAAACTTGAACCTTTTGGGATATCTTTTTAAGAGTTGATATTACTATTCTCCTGCAACCATCTGCAGCTTTTGGATCGTATCTTTCTATGGGTTATGCTCTGAGTACCTGTGAGGAGAGGCTTTATGCAGATTAGATGAAAAAAGATAAATGAGCATAGCTAATAGCTGAATTATTCTACATGTAAAACTGCATGTTTATCGTCTTTCAGCCATACTCTTAGAAGACAGAAATTCCAGTGAGTCTGCTTGGAAGAATAAAATTTCTGTATCTGCCCTAAACACTCCAGAGCCAGCAATGATGCATGAGCCTTTAGTTGGCAGCCAGAAAAGGAAAGCAAGGAAAACTAAGATCACACATCTTGTCCGAACAGCAGACGGTCGAGTGTCACCAGCAGGAGGGACACTGGGTAAGGAAATTGCAGTTTAAGTTTTGTTAAATCTGAATGGTTGGAGAAGGTTTGGGAATATCAGGGAAGTATTTTTCAGTTAGCTTGATTTCATACTTGCTTAGAAAGGTCATTCTTTAAAGTACAGGTACCAGTCAACTGGGAAATCAAAATCAGTGAGTCCAAAATGGCCAGCTTCTTTTGTCTGAATGCCCAAATCTTTGTTCTCTCCCTGGATATTTCTCTCTAATAACTGAGAGCTGGTATAGAGATAAATGGAAAATGGTTACCTTTAATAATTTGTTTCTAGTCAAGCAAAGAAGTCACATTGTACCTAGTTACAAGACGTAAAAATGAATTCCATAATATGACAGTCAGTGCCACAGTCCTTGCAGGAGTCCTTTGCAGTTAAGATAATCTTTCAGGACTTCTGCATCTAAAATGTTCACAAAAGCTCTCTTGCCTGACCTAAATGATCAAACTCAGTTGAATGTAAAATCAGTAAACTGCTTCATAAAGCTTAGTACTGTGCTTCTGCCATTAGCTTGGGTCAGAAGAGGTTGCAGCATGCGTCTGGCTACACTTGCAAAATCAAACTCCTAAAGGTAAAGATTCTGTTAACACTATACTAGTCAGTATATCAGTGGGCTGCTGTGAATTTAAGGGCTAGATTTGCAAGCTTAACTTTCTTTTATTGCAGAGGAGAAGCCAAAAGAGCTGCCACAAAGTACTCTTCAAAAAACATCAAGTGCAGAAACAGATTGCAACAGTGAATGCTCCAGAAATGCAGAGACAGAAGAAAATCATAGTATTACATCAGATATGCCAGCGGTGTCTGCATTTTTTAGCTTAGCTGCTCTGGCAGAAGTAGCAGCCATGGAAAACGTACACAGGTATGGTTTGCTTTTCCCCTGATTGTCTAAGTGAATAGTTATGTGCCTGCCAGCTTGTTCAGAAAGCATGTCAACTGCAGACTGTTTAATTTGTCCTGTGTTTCCTCTTCCACAGCTTTCTATGAATGTTTTACACCACTCGCTTAGTAGTGTTAAGTCTTCACCTAAATGACAATGTAATCTATTTTGGTAGTCAGTAAAATGATCCTCCCTGGTAAGCTTACATGCCAATTTTTCTATATAAACAGGTTCATGTGCTCCTTGAGATCCTAGTGATTGAGGGTTTCTAATTATCAGATGCCATTTGTCAGATAATAGTAGATTTAAATAACTATTACGTGCTGATTTGCATTTCTCAGTGGCCAGAGACTGTGAAGAATTTCATATAACTTCAGCTGAAGTTTTTGTGCTGAACATGGCTGAAGGAAACTAACTTGTTATTTTTACTCCTGTGCTTTGCTATGTAGGAGGCAAAGCGTCTGCAGAGTGGCATGGGGCAGAACAACTGTGGATGATGGAAAGCCACATTAGCTTGGGTTAGTCCTCTCAATTACTGAGTAGACCATCTGCACAGATAAGGTGGAGAATGTGCAGGTTACTTAGGGCTGTTGGATCAGTTCAGTATGGTCAGATCCTACATGCAAGACCTGTGATAGCAGGAAACTGACGACAGCAAGTCCTCTGTGGCTCTTAAATATCTAGTGTTGTTCTTTGATGCTGCAGCTTACTAGAGATGAAACCCCATCCTTTCCTGCAGTGGAAAGTCAGTGAGGAAGTGCTGGGCCACCACAGCCTCTGCAAATGGCATTTGACAGACTGCTGGCTGCCTAAGAAACTCCACAAGGCAGCAGTTGATGAAACCACTCACAACCTCAGTTCACTGTTGATCTCATGGCCCCCACTGGCCAACCCAGTCCTGTACGTTCAGGCTGCGCATCAAACATTGAAGGGCTTTTTAGAAGTTCAGGAGCCCTACAAGAAACAAAGTCAGCTGAACCAAGCCTGCTGGCTCTTCTCTGCAGAAGCTGTTGTCTTGCTTAAGTACCATTGTTTTGGGTAAGAAGTGTTCTCGTGCTGCTGTCAGCCTGGCCTTTCCTCCCAGCACTGCAAAACAAGTGTCTGCTATCAAGACAGTGAACGTTTGAACTCATTTCTGTCATCTTCCATGGTCAGAAGCCACGAAGTGAGACTTGGGGAAGTGCTGTGCTAAGCTCTGCTCGCCCTCATACCCTTGTGGTTTCATTGATTTCCATTAACACTGACCAGAATTGCACAAGAGCAACAGCATTTGCTTCACTGTGTTTTTTCCCTCCTTGCCCCTCCAAGAGTTTGTCCTCCTCTTGTCCCTGTTGATGGGAGCTAATGTGTTACACAGCCATCTGTTTGGGTCTGTCTTTCTTACTCCCACGTTTTGTCATCTCATCATGCAGCTACAGCAATGCAGCATCTTCCATGAGGCCTGAAAAAAAACAAAAGGCAAATGCCCAGCAGCTGTTGCAAATTCCAGCTTGTAATCACCCTGGGGGAAATGACAGCGGGGGAGGACTCTTTCCCAGTAGAAACTTAGCCATGTCTCTCACAGACTTGGCAAATGGAAGTCAAAACAGAAACCTAAATCTGATGGGCTAGACGCTTCTCTGTTTTCTATTCTGTTGACTGTTATCTTTTGCAACTCACTTCTTTATTTGCAAATAGATGGAAATGAGGAGAACAGCATTAGAGGTTTGCTTGATGTGTTTCTTCAGTGTTTGAATTATGAAATAATTTCAGAGCCTTGGGCCACAGAAGCCAAACTCCTTTTTAACTGTAATTAGAGTTTGTCTGGAAGTGGCAACATGGTTTTCATTTGAAGGCTTCTGTTTAGCTTTGTTTACCTTGTGCATGCCCCAGTTAAGCACTGTGAGCCTGAGCTGCATTTTGTGCCAAAGCCCCACTTCATTGCGCTCTGGTTGTGCAAAGCATGTCGGTGCCTCTGTTTCTGCCTGGGTCTTGGCTGTGTCGCAGGGAGGTAAAGCAGCCCTTGTGTAAATAACAAGTGGGCCCCAGATTTTCATTGCTGCAAATGACACATACTGTAACAAAAATAGAACCTGACTTGTGAGATTAGATAACAGGCGGTGACGTGCTTTGTGTATGTATTTTAAAAGGCAAGCTGCAAAGGAGCTCTCCCAAGTCCATCTGCTGCAATGATTGATGTTGATTTCCAGCACATAATTCTGGTGCAGTTTATTTTTATGATACCTTGTACCAGGGGATCATTTGTAAGTTAACACTGCTGTAGTAATGAAAGAGATGTTGTGCTGGGCTGATGAAGTGTGAAGTCATGAAACTTGGAGTAATCCCAATGTGCAACTCTGCTGATGAGTGTATTTCTATATTGCTTAAAAGCTGGCTATTGACTCACTTTAGCGTGATACATGCCTCGGTGCATTTGCCTTCTTTTGCTACGCGAGCAGTGCTCTCTGCTTCTGAGGGCTGAAGCCACTCCCTTACAAAATGAGTGATGGCACTCGTGTACTCTTCACTTACTCTTCAGCCATGCATTTTGGTTTGTGCAGTCAAATACCATCACGTCTTGGTTTTGCCTGATTTTGCATCGTGTTGCAGGTTGTCCTTGGGATCGTGTGTTACTGCTGCAGGAATGTCTCTAAAAAGAGCGTGTAACCGTGGTATGTAGGCATCTGTAGCAGCAGGGAGTTAGAGTGCTGTCACATGCTGCTTTCCATCCTTTCTGGTCTGATAAAAGCACCTCCCATGCTCCAAATAATGATGGGTGGCTTTTCTTTTCTTCTTTTGCAGAAGTCAGAGGGCCACACCTCTCCCACATGATGGACAGCCAAATGAAATGTCTCAGGCTCCAGTGCTTATTTCCTGTGCTGACCAGTGAAGCTCCACTTTATTGTAAAACATTGTGCTTTACCTAATATCCTAGCCTTGTCTTTACCAAGGGAAGCTAGTCAGTCCATATGATGGAAACTATAGACTGCAAGCAAGTGCTTATTGCTCTGAGTGGCCCAGAATTCACTGGAAGCCAGACGTTAGCAACTTGGGCCAGGTCCTCAAATCGGAACCCAGTATGTAGGAGAGTGATATTAATTGTCTATGAATGAACAGAAATGGAATGATCCCAGAGCTTGCTTTCTATTGAAGGCTTTTAAACAGTAAATAGGTGGTTGGTGTGAAAAAGGCTGCCTTTACTGTTAGCTCACACAGCATCTCTTTTACCAACCAGAGAGTATGGCAACTAGTTTCGTATAATACCTAGTTATTCTAAATGAAAATGAAAAAAAAAAAAAAAAAAGAAAAACCAACAACAACAAAAACACTGACGCACTGCACTAGTTATTATTAGATATTCTTAGTCATTTTTGTACATGAAGATTTAAGTTCTAAGATGGTTTATATTAATAGGTTATGCCTACGTTTATATTGTAGAATGAATTTAAAACCTGTTCCAGAGAACTCAAGGCAGCCTGGACAGATGTACCATTGTTAGCGGTGTTTGGGCAGCCATGTGGTCCAGATGTTCTGCACTTTTATATTTGCCACCGGAGTGGTAGAGTTTACTGGGAAAAATTCTGACAGGCTATGTTTGGGTTTATTTCTTTTTAATTTAGCTTTGAATAACAGGATGATGTGCATTAGAAAAAGGAGTGGTGTATGGAAAAGAAAATACTGCAGATACTGACTTGTCTTTCATGCCTTGAAGGTTACCTTTATTTTTGCATAGATACCTGAGCGACTTGGTGAAACTTTCCTGTAAACAAAAAGTACTGCAAATGCGTTTCTCAAAAGTGACCTTAGTATTATTTCACCGTTCTGAAAAACCTAAAACCGTGACTTTTCAATATACATGTACACCAATACACATACATTTTACAGTCACTGGCATTGTTGTAGTTACTATGCACAGTCCAAATCAGCTTCAGAGTTTGCGTAAAGGGCCAATTACAGTTTGTGTTGGTGAAGTGACAAGTTGTATACAGATAAACTACAAACGAAGAGTAAGGCTTGACTGAATTCAGACTACCAAACAGATCCATCTGCCAGTTTCTGTCTTTGCTTGTGTTGAATTTTTGTGTTTTGCTCTCATAAATACATCCCAAAAGCAGGCGAAGTGTATCACTTGGCCTGTTACCTTCGCTATCTTGACTTACACTATTGTATAACCAAGCATTGATTCCTACCAATAGATGCGAAACGATCACTAGTAATTGATCTAAAGCTACAAATTCAACAGGGTACTTCTTCTATAGCACAAGATGTTTCCCTACTTTTTGCATTGTAGCACAACAATGTACCAAATTGGACTCCAGCAATAATTTTCTATTAGTCTTCGTCATACCGGCTGAACTTTTGATAGTATTAGATTGAGTTTGAAGTTCTTTGAATTAAGTCTTTAAATGATGCGAGTTTACATCATTCTATCAGGCATTCTTATTTATACTTGACTGAATTGATAATGTGTTTGGGGGTTATTTTGTAACTAATTTGATGTAATAGCCATATGGACGGTAACTCTATTAATGCTTGCTAGGTTTAGCCTTTCATTGTTGTAGTTCAGTGAAAGTCTTTGGTTCAGTGTCAGGAAACAATATACAACATACCACGCGAGTTGTAATAAAGGATGAAAGGTCTGACAAAAGGCAGGTAGCTGGGGAAGTCTCACTGAAACAAACAGCACCATCGAGGATGCACGAGTTGGAAGAAGGGAATAACAGCAAAAGAACAACAACATTTACGAGCCAATGAGTCAGTGAAAAGGCTTTTTAAAAATTCAGGTGAATACATGACTGAGAGCCCCTAGAATGCCATTGCAGCCTATGGCAGTATTTTTAATAAGATTTTATTAAAGTTTTATAAGTTATTTTAACAAGACAGGAAAAACTTAAGATACTTAAAACCGTTGGGTCACAGCAAGGTGGCTGTTGGAGTTTTGGACCACTTTATAATTAGCTGAAATCCAAATATGTTACAGTGCAGACCGTTCACGTTGACAATGGTACTAACTTATTTCTCTAGAAACCTTTAGAGTAGATATATTTTTGTCAAAGCACCCCATCCTTCCTCGATTTAAATTTCAATATTGTTCCTGAAGATATTTCTGTATATTAATGGTACCTTTTTTAAAAGAAACAGAAAATTACTTTTTTCTATATGAATTAATATCTTACTTGATCTGCTTTTCCTTGACTTTCCCTTAGAGAGGGGGTAGGGTTGGGTCAGTTTACTGGATATGACTGTTTTCAGATACTTATAAACCTTTTTGTAGATATGCTTAATTTTTAAGCGATTAGGCACTGAGAGTAGCAGAAATCCTGCAAAGCTTTATAGTTCACTAGGCATTTGCCTTTGTTGGTTCTCTGAGTGATGTCTTGATTTCAGTAGCTAGAATTTTCCCTGAATCTACTAGAAGGGGTATCAGTATTTTCAGGTAACAAAGTCTGTTAGCACAACAACAATTTCAGACCAATATCTTACTGTATTGGGGTTGGGTTTTTTCCTTGTTTGTTTTGTTTTAATTTTTATTAATTTCAGCTGCTTTCGTTTTGGAAAATCTTACTGCTATTGTGTGTACTTCAGTATACCAGCAAACACTGTTACCCGTTAACACATTGTCCACAAATGCCTCTAGAGAAGAAATATTGCACCTTATGTATATCTCAAGCAAACCAAAATATGATGCTTTTCTCCTTTGTTTATTCTGAATATGTTGTATCATACTTTACTGAACCCATTTTAACTTAGCTAAAGCTATCGATATTTATGCATTTCGCGTTATTTTCTGGATCTGAACCTGTGTATAAATCTTTCTTTAAAAAAAAAAAAAAAAGAAAAGCATTTACCGTAGTCGTCCTCTGTGACTTACCCATGGGAAGGGGGGAATCTTGTCTCAAGTGTAAAATGCAGTACTGTCCCAGTTTTCCTTGGCTTTTATTTATTTAGTGATCTTTGATACTTCATATGTAGTTTTGAGGTATACAAAATACATTGTCGTAGCTGAAGCTACAGATCTAAGCAGCTGGGAGAAGAAAATTACTGCAATGTCTTCTTAATTGTTCTAGTACTGTATACAAATACGGGAAAAATGTTCTGCAGAACATTTGAGATGCAGATTCTTATCCCCACAGTAGGTTATTTTCCAGATAATAGACCAAATCAATCAAAACTCGATGATCTTAAAGGTCTTTTGGAATCTAAATGATTCTGTGATTCTGAAAACATCTATGGAGATTACTTAATGCTCTGCTTATGGCAGTAACTACCCCTTGAATGTGCTGTGATTTCAGAAATAGAATATATTTATTTAAGATGACTGAATGCTCTTTTATACTAATACAATATCCCAAAGTCATGAGCAAGAGACTTCTTGGTAGTTTGGGTTTCTATTTTATAGCATTGGTGCATGACTTTTGAAATTAAAGTGATAAGCGTTGTTGGAAAGGGGCACAGGAACCGAGGGACTGGTAGAAGCGTGTGAACTTGTGGTGTTTAAATTCCAGCTTTGGTCTTTATTATTTGGGTGAAAGCTGTCTTTGTAGCACAAGGCCGAAGAGCACTCTGCAGTTTGTATCAAGTAGAAACCCAAGAGAGGTGTAACTCACTTCAGAACGAGGGAATGCCTTATAGTTTGGATGCTGTCTTTTGGAACAGGATATTAAATTGAAGCAGTTTTAGTTTCCACTGCCTGTTTAGCTACTGTACGGATACTGAACAGACTGTAGGCAACAGTTGTAAACGTGGGACAGCTAAGAGAGGATGTAAGGAAAGCTGGCCTTTGGTCCCAGTATGGCAAAGTTATGGCAACAAAGAGGAATTAGGAAAAAAGAGAGATGTATATATATATGTGTGTGTGTGTGTGTGTGTGCACGTATGCGTGTGTCCCTGGGTGTGTACCTTCTGCAAAAACAAAAACGTAGGAAAAACAAAAACATGATGGGTCCACAAGAGACTATAATGTATGTTGACCCTTTGAGTGCACTCCCTTTTTTTGAATGCTGAGTCTAATATGGCTACCTCTTCTAAAAGACTACTTTTGTTAACTTCCATTTGCTTTCAGGCTTGATCGTGTAATCTTTTCAGCCATTGATACCATTTGTATATCGCTGTGTGCTTTACTTTCAAAGAGCAACGTTTATGTAGCGCAGACAACGTAAAGGCTGAATATACAGCGGTAGCCAAACTATGTTGCTGGAGCATTTTTGTTTAACCTCTGCCACAGTCATATGGGTTGAAGGATGTGGGCCTGCTAGCTCTGGTTGGTTCAGCGAGATCGGTTTTTGTAACAGCAGAAAATGCAGTGCTCATGGAGTGGTGGACTTGAGATATTGCCAGAGGTGACGCAGTAAGCCAAATGCTGCTCTTGAAACTCATTCTGGAGTTTACGTTTGCAGTCCTGATTTCGCAAGGAAACATAACTCTGCAACTTGTGTGTTGTATACCATACATGATCCATTAGATGCCGTTTGTTTGCCGTGCTTGTTTGATCGATTGTAGAGCTCCTAGGTACCTTTGCCATGATTTGTAATACTTGTGGCATTCTCCTTACCTTGTGCGTATATTGTGGAACTGCCACCTACAGCTGCCAGGATGCTGAGGCACTTCAAGACACTGAGCACCGTGAAGGGGTGCATTTAGGCTCTGGGAGAGTTACTTGCCTCCTCCCTTGAATTCCCCAATAAAAAGTCACGGTGAGGTTTATGCTCTCACCTAAGTACTATTATAGTCATTTATATAATCGGTATTTTCTACTGAATTGACTACTTTGAAGAAGCTTATGAGATGGATGTGTATTTTATGTTCCCCTACTAATTCTTCTAAGGCAGAAATCTAGGAAGACTTGACATAGATCTCCACTCGGCCACACACCTAAGCTTACGCTGAAAACCATCCCTACTTAAGGGACAGCATCGTTGTTTGCACTGTGACAGTGCAGGAGCCCCAGTTACGGACCACCGCGCTCTTGGGGTTAAGCTTGGGCTTCCGTGATGTTCCTGGGGGAGGCACGTCGTCGTGACCTAGGGCCTTCATTGACACGGAATTTTAAAAACGACTGCAAGTAACTTAACATTTATTGAGTTCTTCCAAAGAATATTGTCATTTCTGGGTCTTGACTGTTACCGTATACCAGCAGACCCACACTGTACTCTACTGGAAAAAACCACACTCGTGCAGGCTAACTAACCAGGCTTCCAAATGTAATGGTCTAATCTACTCTTTTCACTCCTGCAACTGAAACCTGATTTTCCCACACACACTGCTACGCTTAAATCAGTGGTTGGGGCTTTTAGGGTGACAAAGGCAAGAGAGACATATATGTGCCTGTGTCTGTGTGGATGCATGCATATGTATACACACACACATCGGAGGGCAGTGACTTGCGACATGTTCTCTCTACAAAGTGCTCCCGTGTTATGTCATAAAACAACACGAGGTTTCTCAGACGATAGTTTTCCAACTTTCTTGCTAGATTTCCATCTCTTTCCCTCACATTACACCACAAGGTGTGATTTTTGAAAATCACCACAGATCCTGCTGACCTGGGTGCTACAGAAACCTTCTTTCTCAGCAGTGCTTGCTTTCAGTAACCAGTATGTGTTGACAATTTTAACACAACTGATTTTCTATGATCTTTCTTCCTAGAGCCCAATCCTTCAACTTCTGTTCTCACACCTATTTCTACTGAATTTTGACCCAGTATTTGGCTTTATTCTCTCCAAACCTTGGTGTAAACATGCCTTACAATAGTTCATCTCCTTCAATGGTATAACAGAGCTACTGCCTTCTTAGATGTGTGTAGTTAATAGTCAATAAGCACATTTATAGAATGTCATACTTTCTTCAAAAACCTCTAATTTGATATTTTTAAGTGCACATGTTAAGTCATGTGTATAACATGCTAAAGTACATTAAACTGTGATAATGAAACTGAATAAAATATTTAATAAAATATTTGAAATATTTGATAAGGGCCTTCAAATAGATTTCTTTATGTTCATTCTATTTTGGTTATCTAGTGTGTGCCTGTAAACAGTTTCCCATTTAAAACTAATGTTTGCAAATAAATACTATTCAAACAGAGCTTCTTTGATATTTCACCTCCTTTACTATCAAATGATTGCTTACTTTAACATATGGCTGAGTTAGCAGAATTTGTTTTTAGCTACAGTCTGAATTTGTTGGCTTTTTTTATACTTAAAAAGAAACAAGCTCGTTTTCCACCTGAAAATGGAAGATGCCAAAACCCAGAGATGGATCCTCAGAACTGTGAGCTGTTGTTTCCTGTCAGCTCATCCATTCAACTTCTACACAGTGACTGTGAAAATGTCGCATATTTTGCGAAGAACTTCTGCCCATTTATTCTTGCTTACGTGTGTCTATAACAGGAACTTCCATTTTATTTTTAAAAACTTCTGAAGCTGGTTCAGCACTGTTAACATTGTTGGAAAGATCGATAGACCCATGCAAGTGCCCCAGAATTCAGTGGATTTATATCGACACAAAGCTGGAGACTGTGGGACAGAGAGAGCCAGGACTCAGTGCAGTTAGGCTGTGGGAGAAAAGTTTGCCTTTTCTCCTGAGCTTTCCAAGTATCTATCCACTTTGTGTTTCTGGATTTTGTCTTATTGCACAACTGCGAATTTCGTTTATAGGCTACAGAGAAGTCACCTCACGTGAAGAAGCCCTTGCTGTGCTTTCAGTCCTTGGACACTAAGAGAACTTACTCAGACATGAATTCTCTTCTAGAAATAAGTAGCAAGTGTCATCAATGTCTAAACTCAAAGGTCTCTGCTACTTTGGAAACATTTAAACCAGGACTATGTTCTGCCCATATATTTTACCCTCTTGAAGCTTGAAAATTAGACTGTTTGGGATCTTGTCTTTCCCTGTCCTTGGATGCCTGAAGCCTCCTTGATTTCATTGTATTTTTCTGATCACAGAAGACCCAAGTCCAGACTTAATGAAGCCAGTGGACACCAGTTGTTCACATGGGAGCAGAACTCCTGTCTCTGAGTCAAAAGTAGCAGAAGGGAAGCCTTTAGGTTGTTTTGTTTTGTTTTGTTTTGTTTTAACTATGTGCCATTTACTCAGGAAAGAAATGTACACAATCTTGCACTGCTTTTACTGGTTATGCATCAGTACATCTGCAGAGAAACCCCAGGAATGGAAGAGCTTCAGCATTAAAGGCCATGTGAAGGTCATACTTGGGGAAGGGGGAGAAAAGCTCTGATTCAGTGAGCAAAAAAAGATGGAAGAAATCTTAAGAAATATATATTCTCTCAGTATAGTATGCCAAGTCAGGGACACTGAAATCATTAAATTACCTTAATACAGTCATCTTCATTCCTCAAACTCCCATCTTTTGTCATCTGCTCTCATTTTCTTCCAACAAAAGACCTGCTGAATTCAGCTAGTGCTCGGTGCATCTAGATCTGGTTTGTTACCCAGCTCTCACTCACATTGCTTCTTGCAGCTGCATGGCATTGCACTGACACGTTCTTAACTGTCAGGTAAGATAAAGTTCCACTAGTACTTTTGGAAAAACATGGGGCAGAAAGGCATCATCCTCCTCAAGCGCCATGCTTCTGCCAGGCGCGCCAACGTTCTCCCCTCGATACCATTTGTGGGCTCCTTTTTGTCATTCATCCTGGAATTTTCTAACGTGCAGCTAACCCTGCTTTCAAACAGACTTTTTTTTTTTTCCTATAACGTGATAACATTAAATGAGATACAAAGTACACTTGAGCATACCGTAACCATGCTATATACCAGCTTGGGAAGCTGTCGATTCTTCATTAGGACACTAGCACTTTGTAACAAAACACGAGATGCGTTCCTATATCTGCTGCAAAGTTCTGTTTTGTTATGTTTTCAGAAATAAAACCTGTAAGATATAACGCCTACCATCTATTCAGTGTCAACTTATTTTCGTGGACTGATCTTGGCACAGCAACAGTAATAAATGGAGCTCCAATATAGTTGTGTTTAAAATGTATGCTAGATTTCAGATAGGCTTCATTGGTTACTTTCTGATAGGAGAAGATAACATTAGATCTTCAGCAGAAGTAAGCTAAACTGAAACTCCAGTTGAAATTCCAGCCTATATAAAGTTTATTCCATATATAGCAGCACTTCAACCTATTTGACAGCCTGTGAAACAAGAGGAACTAGTTGAAATAGACCCAAGAATCAAACCATTTGAGTCAGAATGTCAGGCTTAGCACCTAAGTGTAATTTTCTGCATGCAAACACGTAATACTTTAGTCCACTCTGTAGCATTTTGTTTATGACTTGCATTTTGTGAGTGTTTGGATATGGAGAAGTAACACTGAGAGCATCAGGTGTGTTTATTAGTTTGCACACAAAGAGAAGGCATGTGTTGGCATCAAGCAATCACCAGTTCAAGAACAAAGAAAGGGGAAGGAAAAAAATTGAGCTCTCTGGAGTTCTCCTTCCAATCCAAAATAAGTATTTGGAGTATATCTTAAAAGTTAGATACGTGGCCCACCAAAGGCTTCCCAGTCATAACAGACCGTCAGGCTTCAGTCAGATCAACCTGAGCATCAATTCCCTTCCTTCCATGGTCTGGGTGGGTTCCCTTAATACTTGGTCGACACCTAGAGTTATGGTTTCATTTCAGGCTTACCTAGTATGAAAAATCTTGATTCCTAGATGTTTTCATGAGTGAGTTTCTTAAAATAATACTGCTGCTGGAGGTCTTAAGACTCAGCAGCAGGTCTGGTATCTGAGATACCAACCTCAGAAAGTTTACCATAATGGGATTTCTGTTCTAATTGGGGCCCTCTAAATGCTGCTGTCTTATCACTGTGGGTTATTGAAACCTTTTGCCATCTTCCAGGAGTTAAGGAGAATTTGGAAGCCAGTCCCAATCTGTCAGTAATTTAAGACACTTTGTTTTGGTGTTGGTGTCCAGTAATAGTGGCTTTTGTAATGCCACGAAGTCTTTCTACAGCCCTACCTCTCAGCTATGCACGCCACGGTAAACCTGGGATCTTGAGCTTGTGTGTTTTCAGTCTTGCGGCTAGTGGCTTCCATTCAGATGGCTTGCAGCACGCCATCGCCGTTAGCGTAGGTCAGGGCGATGTCATTTGAAGCAAATTCATGGCATGTCTGTCTCTGACAGGCAGGCGGTTCCCTGTTACATTCGGAGGTGTTCCGTCTGGTTCGGTGCTCGCTGGCTGGGTCAAGGACCCGTTCTTGCCCGTGGGTGAACCTTTCCGGGGCTCCCAGCGGTGACGTTTGTCACGAAGCCGGGCTCTGAGAGGGGGAGGCTCTTTCGCCACAGGCCTCCCAGCCTCCCCCCTTCAGGACAGCACAGTGTGTCTGTGCCCCAGCAACTTTGCCCATGCGGCTGGGACCTCTTCTCACCCACAGCTGCTCAGAATCACTTTTGTAAAACAAAATGGAACAAACCCAGCTGGGAGCTTGACGGTAAAGTTGGGCCTTCATGAGCTTTCAGGTTTCAGTAGGCAGTAGTTTGAGAGTGAGGGCTGTAATGTGTCTTCAGCTAGAGCATCTATGTAAATTGTGTGCAGAGATTGACAGGTTATGGCAACAAAGCTGGGTTTCCTTTTGTTTTGAAGAGCAGTGTTTTCTAACGGAAATAAGGTGTCAGGGAAATTACCATCGCAGCAGATGGACTATTTCGTTGTCTTCAAGAGGTTCCAATTTCAAGAGCGGGGTTTGCCAACTGGTCTTTTAAAAAAAAAAAAAAAAGAGGAGAAACTGCAGCTCTAGTCTGTGGCTTGGAATAGATGCTGTGTTTTGCTTCAGTGACTGTAGCGATAATTTTTCAGTCAGAAGTAGTACGTGAGCTACTTGTGGTGTGATGCAGCTCTGAACCATCCCATTCACTTCTAGATGACAGATGTACTTGGCATGTGGCCTAAGTGTTGTCAACAAGTGCTTCCCTGCATGTACGTCATAAATAATACCAACGGTTCATTATCATTTTAATCAGTACTTAAGAAAATTCTTCCTGCTGTGTTTCAAGAAAATACATTGTGCTTGGCTGGCACAAGGCATAGTTTTACCCTGGAAAGTAACGGAGGGAAGCATTCACTACACGGCTGTTTAATCTCGGTACCTAATTTTTTTCAAAACATCTTTACTAGCAGCTCTCTGTAGTGTACCATATTTAGGATATAGTTAATTCAGCTCTGGGATCTTTTAAAGTGAAGGTGACTACTTAATTCTCATGCAGAAATCCGCACCAGCAAGGGAATCTCTTAGGGATGAAGGGTTGCTGAAGGATGCCGTTTGCAAATGCCGGATCTCACTAGGCGTAGGACATGCAAGATGTGCGATTGCAGACCTTGGAGCCAGGCTGCTGGCAGGTACCGGCACAGGTTCACAGTGTAATTGTGATGCCTGGCATGAGCAGAAAACAAAAGAGCGTATGGTTTAAGCGTCAGGACAGCTGTGTTTAAAGCCCATTTGATTCACTGAGCCCAACACGCTGTCGCTGGCACCGTGTGCTCTGGCCAGGGGGAGTTTGAGGGCTGCTGCAGTGGGAGGCTCCGTTGCCGCGTTGTTTGCTGTTCGTTGGTTCTCTACAGCTCCGCGTTCCTAACTTACCCCTGGCTCCAAAGGTGGTGCCTGGATGGGTGGCAGCTGCAGCATGGCGACACTCGGTGCGGTCGTGTTGTCCACGGAGAGGTGCGGCAGCCCCACTGTAGATTTAAGGCAGTAAAGTGGTAACCAGCGGTTCTCGGGGGCCTCCAGGATTGCCCTTGCTGCCTCGGGGTGGCCGTGTGCCGTTACCGCCTGCCTCCGAGGACGGTGGCGTGTGGGTTTTATGGTGGCAGCCGTGGCAGGCCTGAGCGAGCCCCTGGGACGGACTGTTGGGGTCGGTGCTGCAGGATCCCACGGGAAGAGGCCGTCTGTCCTTGGGTCACCCACAGCTTCGCTTGCGCCAGGCTCTGGGAACGGCAGAAACAGAGAGTGCTCGTAAACGGCCCTTGTAAGAGCGAAGCAGATTTTTACTCAGTTGAATCCATACACACATAGAAACAGGATCCATTCAGTCTTTTATGGCTTTTTTATTCAAACTTTCCTGGAATACACGATGCCATGAGGTCTGACAGCTGCACTACTCACGCAGCGTGCACTCTGCACTTGGTTTCTTGTGGGCAAGCGAGGGGAAAGTATACACACCTTTTACAGATTTCTGCATCTACCTGATAGCAAAATGTACCTGGCATACCTTGGTCATCGGGTGGTTAGAAGAACAGTAATCTCCAGATTATCTGTAAGACTGGCTTCTTATTTTAGCATTTTCAAGCAGCATATATGCAGATACATTTTTGAAATGACTATTTTGTGCGAGCTGTACCCATGATACGTTTCATGTGCGAGGGCCATGAGAGCACCATAGTACGTAAGAGTCAGTATAGAAGCAGCAGTTTCATACTCACAGACTCTGTTAATCTACAACTAGTTTTAAAAAACCTAGACAAAAAATAGATGTGTGCTGTTCCACCTTGGCAAAGTGATTTTATAATTGACAGCCAAGGGTTGCCAGCAGGGATTTAAAGGCATCTTTAACAATGAGATAAAAATATATTCTTAAATAAAAATTTCTAGGCTTTTAGACCATTCACAAAACATTGAAAGTGCTTTGCAGGATGAGTAATTTTTTACTACTTTTGGTTAGTAAAACCACCGATGCGAGTAGTTTGACAAGCTTCAAATAAATAGAAAATGGTGGATGCCATTTTTTAGATGCCACGCGTTGCCTCAGACCTAGATCAGAGCTCCTTGGCAGCACTGGCCTGTCACACTTGGCAGGGGGAGAACGTGGTGTCATGTCTGGAATGCGCAGCTGCCTTCAGCGTCAGACCACCATCCCGTAAATCTCAGCCATTGGAAATCCATTGCCATCAATATAGAAGGGGCATAAACAGTGTAAAAGCTGTTTTAAAATAAGAACTGGTTGGTTTTTGTCACTTTTGTCAAATCTGCTGTCCAGCTGAAAATGCTTTATATTTGTTAGAGACAAATCTCTTCTTGGTGGAAGTTGGGAATGTCAAGCTTCACTTAGAAATTTCTCACCTTCCTTTTCAGCCATCTTGCCTTTCCTCCCCGTTTTTTTCTCGAGCGGCTAAAATCTTGATGGACATCTGTAGCAAAAAGTCCCACTGATTGTCAGTGGGACAGGCAGTGCCCCACACACCTTCCCAAGCTACTGCACAACTCTGAAAAACCCACAGAGGGGATTTTTTTGAATTAGTGGTATTTTAACAACAGTTTTCCCCAACCATGGCTGTGCATTAAACACAGCTCCTGCAAAAAGATAGGCACGAGGAGGCGGGGTCCTCCAGCGGGGTGGCTGGAGCAGCACTGCTGGGCTCCCCAGGCCCTCCTTGCACTCCGGCTTTCTGTACGAAAGCCCAAGAAGTGCCAGGAGCCCGGCAGGCTTTTGAAGTACAATAAATTATTTCCTCCTCCTTACTTGTTGAGAATAGATTCACGGTTTATGAGGATTTGCCCTGGTTCATTTTTGAGCCCGTGGCTTGTTATAGCAACTAATGTAGCTTGAGGTCCCATGCTTTTTCTAAAAAACAAACTAAAAGCCCCTTCGGCGCTATGTACTAGACCTATGATGTTTGCATTAACTCATACTAAGCTTTAAGCTGCAAAATAAAACTCATCACATTTCTAAAATTCTTTCTTAGAGGGGGAAAAAAAAGTCCCCAGACAACTACATTTTCTTTCTCCACAATTACTGAAGAAACCTTCAGATCAAATAAACATAATGCTGGACTTCCCAGCTACCTTGCCCTTACAGCCTCGCGGGTCTAGCCCCCGCGTGGCGTGGAGGAAGCCTGCGGGCTCAGGACCATGCTGACGTGAAGCAGCGTTGCTTCCCCTCCGGAGAGGGGACCCGGGCTGCCGGGAAGCGGGAGCGGATGGGGTGGGGTGGGGATGCCCACCGACCCCCCCAGCGCCCGCCGCAGAAAGCTGCAGCAAGGGCTGCACCTGCAGGCGGCACGTACCGCAGTAAGGGCTGCTGCTCTGCGCGCCTCGTCGGTCAGAAAAACGCCGCTTTTCACCTCTGTATCTCGTGTTTGGAAGCTGTTGTAGGCGCCGTGTGTGACAGAGCTCGTGTCGGGCGAGCGGTTCTCGGTGGTTCTGTGTTGTTACGGCTGAAGATTTCCTGCTGGCTGTAGCAGCACCGGACACTTGCCGTTGTGACCTCCGGCCGTCTCCTTGAAATGCCGTGGTGGTGGTGGTTGTCTCAAGGCACTGTGCACACGGCGTTGCTGCTGATGCGCAGACATTTTTATCCTCGTTGTTACTGGGCATTGATTTAATCAAGATACATGAATTCAGGAAGGATGCCATGGATTTTTGTAATTAAATACGTCACTAGGTAGTCTTTTTTTCACCCACGTGAAATTTATAAATGAGAGGGAAACAAATAATTCAGAGTGCAGACAAGTGTATAGGAAAGGCCAGCATCTCCATAAATTAAATTTTGCATTTTCCGCTTGTGTTTCTATGGTGAGGGCAGGTCAGCAAGCCGCTAAATAAGTGTTCACTGCAGAAATGCTAAACAGATGGATTCCCACAGCCATCCGCAGGTGAGCGTGGCAGACAGGTGCTGCTGCTGCTGCTGCTGTTTATTAGCTTCTTGCATTCCCTGTGGGTTGATTGCTGTTAATGCTGTTGTGTTAACTGTGCACCACAAGCCAGCTGAGAGGAGCTCGGTGTGCGAGGTCAGCTTTGGGCAATCATATTACGTGAAATGCAACATCATAAATTTTTGTCACAGTGATGCTGATACTTCCCAATGGTGTTTCATCTCGATGTTTATGATGAGTGCCTGTTTAAAATGTCCCAGGCTTCTAGCTTGACTTCTTTTCCTCTTTTTTTTTTTTTTTTTTTTTTTTTTTTTTTTTTTTTAAGGCAGAGTCATGTTTCATGTAAACCAGGTAATTCTTTGGGCTGCTTGTAGCAGATTTTAAAAACCAGCTGCTCTTTGAATTCCCAACCTGTGCAAGCTATTGGCAGGAACCAGCAGAGGATATTTAAAAGACACAGCGATTCCTGTCAGTGTGAGGTTTTCTTGCTCATTATCAATTTGCCAACAGTTAGGTCAACATTTTTCAAGATGACAGAAGGCTGAAGGAAAGCTTTCCATGGCCGCTTTTGAAACATTAGAGTGAGCATTTCTCTGCATTCTTCTTGGTTTCCCGCTGTCTAGGTTTTTTTGAGGGGGAACCGTAAAAGTAGACAGGCTTTTGATGGCTTGTGAGGAAGATGTAAGCTGACTCTTAATAGGGTGTCTGAAGAGCTTGTGCATGAGCAACAGCAAGCCAAGGCAGAAAACCAAGCAGCCGGTCAGGATATTAAACACATCCTGGGTCGTGGCAGGGTGAGATCTTGTCAGTATTTACTTGGCACAGAGTCACAGGGCCAAAAGGGACTTGGAAGCATCAGCTAGAGAGTTTCTCTGCCCTAAGGCAGGTTGAGCTATATTTATCGCACACCTGACGAGTGGGTGTTGAATCCATCCTTAAAAGCCCTTGATAGTGGACACTCAACCATTCCCCCTGCTGTTTCTTCCAGTGCTGGACTGTCTTTTCTTTTTGAGGGTGGTTTATTCCCCCAGTACCCAAAAATTTGAGGGTATGGGAGCAAAGATGGTATCTTCAAGAGATGTTGGAGAAACATTTTAACTGTTTTCATAAATGCAACCTTAGAAATAATGACCAGATAAAATCTGAGACAAGATTTTCAAGGAGCAGCAGCCCAGCTTTATTGCAAGCCACAGGACTCCTCCATGCCTTTGAAAATCTCTTCCTTCGAATCGTGTGTCAAGTTGACGGTTAATAGCCATACCAGAGAGGTTCAAAGAGACCTTTCTCCTCGTGCTGCGTTTTCTATCTAGCAGTTGCCTTTAATTTTTTTACAGAGTTCTGACAGTAAAAAAAAAAAAAAAAAACAGAAAACCAAACCAAAAAAAAAAAAAAAAAACACAAAACAAAACAAAAACCCAAACCAACCCAGCTTGCCAGCTTTTTCTTCAGTACCCTTTTCAGACACTACGAGTCCATCACTAAAGCCATATTGTGAGGAGGAAACCAAAGGAGAGCAGCATCCGTTTCCTGAGGCGGTGCTTGTGCCAGCCACGCCGAGAGGCTGGTGAGCCGGCGGGCGCCGGAGCCTGCCCTCACCCTACAGCCGTCCTCCCCCAGCTGCCCCACGGGTTTGGAAAGGGGCGCTTTCCTGGCTGTCCTGGCAAGAGGGTGCTGGCGAGGCACCGCCTGCGCTCGCAGCCAGGTCCCTGCCTGGTGTCCCATCCAGCCTCTCCCCGGGAGACGCGGGAAGAGCTGCCTGCGACCGTGTCGGCAGCGCAAGGACCACGACGTCCCTGCGTCCCCGCTTTGGGACGGGGACCTGTGGCTGTACCTGCCATCCTCGCTCCGGCTTCAAAACCAGGACTAGTGGAATAGTTTTGAAACGCTGAGAAGACGAATGGAGCAAGTCGGGCATGTTAGCAGAAGCGGCGCGCTCCCTTGCTGACAGCGCGCTGATTTACCCAGGGCGATGCCACCCTTTGCCGAGGAGCCTCAGACCATGCTTTTCTCCATGCAGAGCACCCATTGCTGGGAACAGGCATCCAACAGGGAGGGAAAAGGGAGAGCACGTCCCTCAAGCAAGGCGTGCAATTGCCTTCATTTTCTGCCCATCCCGGGCTGTCAGGAAGCTCCCTGCCTGTGCTCCTGGTCGCTGTGGTAGGCTTGAAAGAAACGGGTCAGCAAACCTCTTCCACACCAATGGTCCAGGCACCGAGCTAAGGTGACCCTGGCCGTGCTGGCATGCCGCTGGCACCTCTCCTCAGGTCCCACCAGCCCCGCTCCTCTGCGCGGCCCCACGCAGCTCAGAGGTGTGGGGAGGCAAGGGCAAAGCCCCCGGTCCCCGGCGGCAAAGCGGCGTTGGCACCTCGGGCGACGCGCGGCAGCCCCTTGGCCCCGCGCTGCCCGGGGGCTGCACAGGGTGCTGGGGGGCTGCTGAGCTCCAGCCACGCACGGCCGTGGCCTTGCGACCCCACCGAGGAGCAGCAAGAAGCGGCGGCAGAGGTGGCCCTGCGGGCGCTGCCAGGGGCCCGCCGTGCCCGCGGTTCTGCCGCTGCGGCCCCAAGGGCCCCTTCGAGCCGCTCCATGTGATGCTACGGACCTGGGCACTGAGCCCCGGGGAGGCACAGGGACAGGGTGCTGTATCGAAGAGCTGAAATAAGTGATACCATCGGCAGGACACGAAGCAGAGGCCCCGGGAACATTGTCCACCTACGGGTGGCTTGCTCCAGGCGATGCCTGGCCCAGCTGTGGGCGTGGATCTGGCAAGGAATGTAGGTGGGTGAGGGACCCAAGTCTATTTAGACTATAAGAGCCTTTGACAAAACCCAGCGCAACTGTGTGCCAACCAAAGGCTGACTTTTTAAGGGCAGTATCTCCCTGGACAGCCTCCTGCAGTAGTTGACAATCCCAGAGTGCTGAGAGAAGAAGCGTTTAAGGGCTAAAAAGGAAACAGGTGCAAACAGATCAATGTTCGGAAAATGCGATTTCCTCAACGACCTTGTGAGTGAAAGGCATGGCACTGTAAAAGGGGAGACGAAGTGTGTGGAAGGGATGAACTGCTTTGTCCCAAGCCCACTAATTACCCTGGCAAGGATGGCCAAGCCCAAGGAGTTTTTGGCTCCTGGTTTCACACACAAACCATGAAATGAGGATGGATGCCTAGCAAGCTGCACTTCAGTTACAAATTAACCAGTATGTTCAGCAGTACCCGGCTTTCACTATGGATATAATCATCAGGGATCCCTGGGGAAGGAAAAGCATTTTCCTCTGTGTTTCAGTTTCTCTCCTGATTTGATAGACTCTTAATCCCTCGCGCTCCCCCTGATTTCCTCACTCCTGCTCAGCCCTAGCAACCCTGCCCAGGATAAGCAAAAATAGGTTGTGGTGGTGTCGAAAGCGACAAAAAAAGGCTGCGCTGCAGCAGATCAACTGAAAGATGACTTCCAAGTTGCACCCTTTTCCTCAGTAGTCAAAAAACCACAAGAGCAGCCAGTAAAGATGACTCTTTAGTGTTTTTTTTATCCAATGTAAGTTCTTCTCTCTTAAAATTAGCCCTTTTTTTTTTTTTTTTCCTCCTTCACAGCATACCAGGGTGCTTCTCATATTTTCCCTGCTGTTGAGTATCAGCATGTGCTTTGAGTCCTGTAGAGCTGAACAGATATTACTAACAGAACTGAAAAATAACGCTGATTCTGTAACCCTTGCAGGCACAAAATTCTTACCAAAATACAAAACAAGGGGCATTTCCCTTCTGTTGTGTTTGCACGTTCATCTGTGTAACACCGAGGGTAAAGCAAGGTCCAGATACATAAACAAGATGAAGTGATGCTCTGTGGCGATGCGGGCGCTGAAGTGACTGAGTTTTAAGCAGTGTCTGTACACAGTGGCTTTCCTGGGATAGGCAGAAGAATTTACATCGTGCACAACACAGGCCAGCTCCTGGCCTTTGTGTGTGCCTCTCTTCTGGCGGTACGTACCTGCATAGTCCTGGTGGGTACCAGGATGAGACAGGGAATGATACCTGCTGCTTTGGGATAGCTAAAATTGCTTCTGAGGTCACTGAAATAGCAATCAGGAATTTTCTAGCTTTACTGTTTTGTAAGCAAAGATGCAGCGCGCAATGCTGAATTCAGCAAGGATGTGTTTGCCTGGCCAAGGGCTAATGACAGGTGTGCTTTTAAATACAGCCCATCCTTCATTCTCTAATCCTGCAAATACATCCTGTTCCATCAGGGCGTCCTTCTTTAAAATACCCATTTTTAAGCTTCCCTATCCAAACGTCAGAATTATTATGGGAAACGGTTCATTTATTGCCACGCTTTCCTTGATGCATGTTTTGTGCTACGCTCAAAAGGTGGTTTCTGCTGGGGGTGTGTTGTGCGGTTTTGGTCAGATGTCGGTGTTCCTGCCTGGTGGCCTGTGCCAGGCCGGGGGTCCCAGGGGAGCAGAGTGTCCCTTGTTCTGGTGGGACCGTGCCACGTCACGCGGGCTGGATCCTGGCCTGGTGGGTTGCAGGCTGTGGGGGATTACCCGGGCACCTGTGAAAACGGAGCCCAAGCCAGAAACATCCCTCCTGCCCCCGCAACCGTCTCACCCCACTGGGTTTTCTTCCCGAGTGGGAGACCCCCGTGCTCGTGCTGCTGTGTCTTTCCTGGGTCTGAGCCACGTACTTATTTCATGCAAACCCGGCTCCTCACCGCTGGGGTGGTACCCGAAGTAGAGCGACTGTGCATCAGGGGGTCATCACTGATTTGGGAAGAGGCTCCTAGAAACCCTTACGGCAAGGAGCGTGTTCAGTGACGTCTGCGTCATGAACAGAAGCGATGCAGCACCTCATGAGCGGCGAAGCCTGGGTAGCGTTGGGCTGAGAGCAAAATGGCATCGCTTACAAAAGGGGCCTTGTCCCTCAATCCTTACTTTCAGTAGAAAATCCCTCAGAAGAGGTGCTGCCCATCTGCTCCCGCTTTCCTTTGCGAGTGGACCCCAAGATGCAAACAGGGAGTGGACTGGAAACGGGTGGCACAGAAGGCACCCTGGGTGTTGCCGGGTCCTAACGGTGTCCCCAGCAAGCATCTCTCCCTTCCCCGTCCCCTGCTCGGTGGCTTGGGCTTGGCTCTTGGGCAGCAGCAACGGGCAGCGCTCTGCTGCCTGCCTGCCTGCCTGCCTGCTGTGGGGAGTGCCGGGCTGACATAGCCCCGCTGGAGATCTGGCCCAAAATACTTGCAAAGCATTTCCTCAAGTAGTCGGTTTTAGTTTTAAGAAGTCGTGTTTAATAGCCCTCAGGCTGTGGGAGGGGGAAGGGTTATGCCCTAAAAATAAAAGAAGGCGAATGGGTGGATGGATGCTGCATGAAGGACTGCTGAGAGTTTGGTGTGGGGTGAGAGGCATCACATCTTCCTGAGGGAAAGGAGCCCTTGCGATGTAAACAACGTAGGCGGGGGGGTTGGCAGGGGAAGCACTTTGACTGAGAAATATTCTTTTAGATTAAACAACAAAACTCTGCATGCACATACAGACTAGGTCTTCATAACGCGGCCAGGCTTTGACAGTGTACTGCAGCATTATTGCTATTTATAATCAACAATTACTAACACTATAATCCAGTAAACTTAGTGGTAGCAATTACAGCAACATAAATAGCAATCCAGATGACTAAAGGCATTGCTGTCAATGCAGATGGCAGCTATAGCATTAGAAAAAAATTCAGAGGGAAGATAGCGGAAGTTGATAATGCGAGCTTGGGTCTGCTAGTCTTTTATATACCGTTTTTAATATACTTCCTGAAATGAAGCTTCAGAAAGGTACACTGCCTCTTTAAAATTAGTCTAGGAACTACAGGTAGTTCACATTATTTTTAAAATAATAAATCTCTATATATATCTATATTAAAATATATATGTATACATAAGTTGGCTAGCCTACCTTGTGGAAAGGCTGCAGCTAAACTAAGTCTGAGCTAATATTGTATTACCATGGTCTTCTGGTTTGTAGATAGCCCTTCCTTATTAGATGAGGTTCTGTTCTTGCTCCACAGAAGGTGCCTGTGTATATAACTCCTTTGTATTGCTTTCTGCAGAGTCCCTTATATATTTCTTACTACTAATGCTGTGTAGAAAAGGAAATCCAGAGATTTTACTACTGATAATTAACCATATAATGGCCATTAGCAAAATAAAGATTTAGTTGTTTGGGAAACAGATTATTTATATTGTGTATGGTTTATTGCCTGATAACTTGTTTGGTGACTGGATATTCTTTTCCTTCTCCTGGTCCTTTTCTGCTTTTTCCAGCTATGGTGTTTACTCCTCACTTTGATTATCTAGCAGGCAATAAAGTATATTGTATGTTTTGAAGCCAAGCGGTGTGCTCCTTCATTGTGCACGGAGGGGGAGGCAGTGCCGGCGGAGCTGCAGCTGCTGCCCGGCCGGGGGACATCTCTCCCGCCGCGGCTGGCACCTCTCCCCTGGCAGCTCCGTGGCAAAGCAGGGCCCAAGGCAAAAACCCGGCGTTTCCTACGGAAAAGGAAGGAGCTGCAACCAGGAGCAGCCGTGGCCTGGCTGCCTAGCCGTCCCGAAGGACATGAGGAAACCGTGTGGGCGCAGAGGGATCACTGTGTGGCTTCCTTCTCACTGCCCACAAGCACCCGGCACGGAGGACAGCGGGGGCAGTGGCAGGTACCGTCGCTCTCACTGGGGGCTCCTGGTTTTCCCCTGAGGCGTGGAGCTCGGCCCAACGCCTGGCCGGGAACGGCGGCGGCACCCCGTGCTCTCCCGCCCGGGAGGCCACACGTCATCCGTCACGGGAGGCCACGCGTCGTCGTCCACCCTCCGCGGCCGCCCGCACACGTGCCGAGCGGCCCCGGCTCACCCGAACTGCTCGCGTGGGGTTTCATTGCTTCGCTTTGGGTTGGGTTTCCTGGGGAGTCAAGTTCTGCGTGGCAATTCCTCTCCCTCCTGACACCCGTGGCATTTTCCTTCCTGCGTTTCAAAAAATTCCACCCCCGAAAGCGACGGGTGGGTGCGGGCCAGTTGCTGTGTTTGCAGGAGGACCGTGCGCTTCTCTACCCGGTCCCCTTCCTCTTCCACAGCCGTGGCTGCTCAGAGGTCACCTCGCACCTCCCGAGGGGACACACGGCATCACCCCCCGCCTCGCCCCCCTCTCGGCAGAAGACGGAGCAGGCGGCACGGGGTGGGGGGGCTGTGATGGAGTCGTTCACCTGACGAAGCCGGTCCTTCTCCGGGAGCCAGGACATGGGTGAGTGGCCCCGCTCCTGTGCGGCGGCTTGGGGGTCGGGGCGTAAGAGAGCACAGCCTCCTGCTAAATCACGTAAGAAACAAACTGCTTTGGCGTCGGGGGAGACAAAGCTGCTAAAAAACTCGGCCTTCGCTGGTCAACACCATTTTCTGGTGTTTATTTTAACCTGTTCCATCCTGAAGCAAAAGTTGAAATGGTGGTGCTGCCTGTGTAACAAAGCTTCTCTGAAAGCAGTAAAAAACTCTCCTTTGTAAGTCAAACAGAATTTTTCTGCTTCAGTTCTGACCTTCACCTATTTTGCTGTTTTTTGCATGGGCGTACGTGTGCATACTACACATGTGCACGCACGGAGGGACAGCTGAAAAACCTCACTCCACACTCACTAGTGATATAAAATAATCAAATCGCTCATGGATACTGGTGCTCTAAATGGGGGCAGTTGTGAACGTGACAGTATTTTTACAGTTTTGCATTCGTGCAGCCCTGCTCGGGCTCCTGAGCGCCCCGACGACGAGGGTACAGACACGGCAGGCGGCACCGGTGGGCAGGGACCCCAGCCCCCCTGCCCTCCCCGCAGCGGGGGGACGTGCAGGGACACAGCTGCCTGTGAGCGACAGACGGCCCCGGGTGGGGGCAAAAAAGGGCCCCAAAGGTGCCCTTGCAGTCACACAGGGACACTGGGAAGCCAGCCCCACGGCGAGGGCTGCCCCACGGCTGCTGGCAGGGAGACAGAGGGGCCCCTCACCAGTAGGTGTTCGAGGTGGGGATACAGGGGCAGGGAGGGGCACATCTTCATTTTACGCGGTCGTAATCAAAGGTCAGAAGTCAAAAAAATATTTTCTGCTCGTTTGCGAGCTCTCCTTTCCTTGTTTAGAAGCGGGAATACAACGTGACCTCTCAAACTACACAAACTTCCAGTTTGGTCTGCTACTATCTGCACCCCTCCTGCTGGAAAAAAAAAAAAAAAAAAAAAAAAGTGCTTTTCTGCAGTAACAAAAGTATAGAGAGGGTTACTGAATTTATTTTGACGTCAACAGAGAAGACAAACCAGAGACTTGCATCTGGGAAATGCCTGGCTTCATCTTTCTGTGTTTGCTGCATCATGGAGGAAAAACAGAAATGAAAACTGGTTCCTGTTTCTAAGCAGTGGGGCTTCTCCCTTGGACCCTGACTCACTAAAACACCGTTCTGGCGTCCTCAGGTGCCTGTGCCAGGACTTGGCCTTGTTTGTACATCCCACCTGGAGAAATTAGTTGGTAATGTAGGCAGCAGCAGAGCTAGCAGCTCTGAGTGGGTACAACAGCCCACCACATCTATATTCAGCAACTAATGAGTGCTGGAGTAAAACCTCAATTATGAAGCATATTTTATATGTATGTGTCTATATTTTATATGTTTTTCCTTTTTAAAATTGCTTATTATGGCATATTTATGATTGACAGTTTGGTTGGGTTTTTTTCCATAGTGCAAATTGGATCTGACACGAGCTTTTTTGCCAGCACAAATGAGATGTAAGAGAAGAAGAGTTGCTGCAGATACTTAGGAAGGTTAGTGCCTTCCTTTCCAGCTTAGTCCACCTGGCAGTCACAGGGAGCATTTGTACAAATAAAATTAATCTTGTGTTCTTGATGGGCCTTGTGTCCTCAGAGGAGGCCTCAGGCAGCAGGTGCTCCCAGGTCTGTGGGGGGAAGGTTTGGGTGCGCTCCCGGCTCCTCCAGGAGCTGTGGTTTGGTAAACCCCACATCTTCAACCACAGACTGGTACCTCTTCTGTAATTTGTTTCACCATTTGGTGAACACTTTGAACCAGCTCATCAGAGCAAAGGTCTTGCACCCCAGTGGGCTAAGAAGCACTTTCAGGCTGTTTTGAAGTCCAGCAATAGTCAGTGTGGGGACATGCTTGTTCTGGGTGAAAGCAGAGCGGGTCAGGGAATGTCCAGTCTCTTGGCTGTAGTTTCAGTAGTCACGTTGTTTATGGGCTCAGTGCTCTCAGGACACACATCTGGCAGGACTGTGGGGAGGTATCTTTAATTAAACCAACTGGGTAAGAGCAAAATTTGGACACTGTTTCAGCCTGCAGGCCCTGGGGCTCAGCTGTGGGAGCACCATCGCAGCTCGTGGCTTTCCATCTGCTGCACTGGCGCCGGGTTGGACAAGAGCTTGAGCCAGGGTCCTGCACCCAGAGCTCGTTTCTGACCCGTGGCCTCGCCGGCCAGGCCCCTTTGAGCAGCAGAAACCACCGGCAGTGGTTGGTGGTGAGACACTTGCACCAGCTGCATTTCTCCTCCCGGGTGGAAGATCACTACAAGCACCAGGAGCTCGTTTTCTGTTTAACATTTACGGAAACGGCCGCTGCTGGGATGGAGACACCGGCACCCAGGCTCCCAAGGCAAATCCCTGAGACCCCCGTTCCTCCCGGCAGGCACTGCAGGGGGGCGCACACCCCGCAATGCAGCCTGCCTCCGTACGCCCCCCAGCACCGCCACGACTTTTTTTTTTGGGGGGGGGGGTGGGGGGGGGTGCAAGAGCAGGACAGGGCAGCCCATGCGCCTGGCGTGCAAGTGCTACCTTGCGTTGGACTTGTCCTGCGAAAAGTGAACGGCTTCCTTGTTGTCTGATAACCAAAGGGAAGGTTTGGTTGTGGATCACTGAGCAGCGATGATAACCTCTGATTCAAAAATTGAATACAAAATAAATAAAGCTAGGCACTGCAAGTCAGAAATCCTCCTCCTCCTCCCCCTTATGCATCTCATGAGCTTCCTGTTGTTCATTCAGATAGATCTGAGGGCACACTTGGGCTGGCACTTAACTGCTTGTCTTAAGGACCTAAGTCTTTAATTAAAATCCTGATATTGCAAGGCACAGAGAGGAATCTTAAGTGGCAGTGGCTCTCATGGATGTAAAATCTTAACCAAAAGTGCTCCACCTTTCCTGGTCTCAATGTCTCCTTAGCTAAATAGAAATGGATTTTTTCACTAGTATGTCTCACTCCCTAAACTTTCTTGAACTTTCTATGCTATAAGTGGTTGATATCTAATCTGCTCTTCTCCTGATAGCACACCATGAGATTTAAAACAGCGTGGACACTTGGGAAAGGAAATTTGCCTGCAAACTTTCAGCAATTCCTTTTTATTCAGATAGAGTTGGGGAAGGGGAAACCAAGTGTAAATATTCTCAGTGCCAGCCAATCCTTTGGAAGGGAAATCTCTAATTGTACCAGCATGAGAAGAGGGGTTTTCTCCCAGGTAGGAGCAGCAGGAGGGGTGGGGTGGCTCTGCAAATGTCCTACTGTGCTTTTGTTGCTTTTAGTTACTAAGTGAGATTTAACTGTGCTGACCTCCCAGGACATGTAACGAAGAGACACATAAGGCAAACAACGAGGTGCAGAGCACAAGGAAGCAAACCTGACACTCGGGCTTCTGATTATAACCTGTTTTCCATCCCATATTTCAGAGGGAAAGAAGAAAGAAGTAGATCTATGTAAACTGCGTTGGTTGGGTTTGAAACTGTGTGAAAACCTTGTTTCCGAACCATTTGTGATGACAAACGCTTAATTCCTTCTCTGGAAAGTGATGGTCAGGAAGAGTTGCCACTAAAACCACCACAGGCTGGTTCCCCAGAGGGCCGGTGCAGGCAGGCTGCTGTGGGACAGGCACACCGACGTGGGGCTGCGCGGCCCCGAGGGGCGGCGAAGAGCCCAGATAGGGGGGTGTCACCGGGGCTGGAGGAAAAGGGAGGTGTTGGAGTCCCTCAAAAGCGGAGTCTCCCAAAATAAGCTTTCTGAAAGGGCTACAGCCTGGGAAGCAAAGCGAGAGGAGGGCCACAATAACCCACCAAAGTCTCTTTCAGATAACAGTGATAAAGCATCAGCTGGCAGAGGCTGGTGCGGGGCTGGTTATTTTCTTCGGCTGTTGCAAAAGTTCAGCTTTGAGAGCAGAGTCCTGCGCTCGGTATCCGCTCTTCTCAGGAGCACGGTAAACACAGAGGCTTGGTCTATGTGTTTGCATTTTCTGTGGTAGGGAGCCACAAGCCAGCCGTGCCCCCCAAGCCCCTCACAGCCCGGTACCGCTGCCCCGGCTCCCGGCAGCCTTCCTGGCCGC